ATAACATTTCAAGGCCTTGAAAGACTTCTTACCACGTTTAGTTCTGTTCATAATTCAATACTAAGGAATAACACTCTTTCATAAAGATCGATATATGACCAAACAACGGTATACAACACTTTCGTTGGTTCATTATTTCACCCGCCTTCAGTTGCTTCAAGATGACATTTAAAAACACTTGTCCCTTTCATGTTTATTTCCACCACCAGCAATACGTTTTCAGGAAAAAAGATGCATGAGAAGGGATCATATAAAGAGGCATCGTTAAGATCGGCAGCTCATTATCTAACGGAAACCAAAATGGATGTTCAAGTTACTGCAAAATGTGGAACCTCAAATGCAGAGGTATTTACAAAGGTCACTTATCAAAACATATCTCGGTTGGCAAACTTGTTCAAACTATCTGAAATATTTTATGAAGGGACTATTGTATGTAAATTAATTACAGTTAAACTGTTTTGATGTTGACAGTCACCTGGATGATTTACAATTTTGTCGGAAAAAGATGTATAACCTTTAGTATGAGGGGAACTTAGCCATGAAGATATTGATGAAAAAAACTTTAAATAAATATTTTCAAATGTGTATATAATCCATAAAAAATAAGTAATATGGCGTATACTGGAGTGTTTAATTGTGTGATCTATAATCATATTCATATTAATGTAAGTCAAACCTTTGGAGAGAAAAATTAATCATTCCCTCTTTCAGGGCTTTATAATTCCTTTTATTCCCATCAGCGGGTACTGAAACATCCAAGTGATTGGTGAAACAATACGTGGTTTGGACGCCATGAAATAGCGAAGAACCATGCATATATATGCATAAATCATCACGACAGGACTTGATGTCCGTGATCATGAGGATATTGCCCGAGCAACACGCAATGGCGACTCACACACTATTAGACGCTGCTAAAGGTTTGCTATAGTTTTTCAGAAAGTCAAAAAAGCGTTTTGTCAAAGAACAAGAACAGGTATGTAATTTAAGTTTGAGATGCGTGTTAACTTAGAGGACATACATTGTCGGCAATTCCTTTCACTGACCAACAAATACTCATATATTCACCTTGAATTAACCCACATCCAGTAACAATATCCAAATACTTGCAGATGCATTTGGATTGACCGTGCAGAAACCAAATCTGTTTCTTTCCTCCACACGCGTCGTATGCGCTGCATCGTAAGCCTATAATAGGGGATTTTCTTGACAGCAATTTCCGAGCACATTTCTTGCTAAAATATGTAACATTTGACAAAAAGATAATGATTCTAGAATCCTTTGCGTTTGTTCGTGTTTCCAGTGGCGTTGGACCTAGTTCCGGCGCCTTGGCAGTTTCTTTGGGTAAATTGAAACTATTATTGAGAGAGCTTTACACTGGATCCAACATCATCAATGTCCTTCAGAGGTGGCTTTGACATCAGTAACGTTGATACACTGCATCCTCTCTCCCTCCCCTCTCTATCTGTCATTCGTAACGATTCTGACATCATCAATGTCCTTCAGAGATGGCTTTGTCATTCGTAACGTTGATACACTGTATTCTCTCTCTCCCTCTCCCTCTGTGTGTGCGACTATGTGTGTGCATGCGTGCGTGCGTGCGTGCGTGCGTATGTATGTGTCTTTGTCACGTGCATATGAAATCCACGAATATGGCAGATACTGATATGGTACAGTTAGGTAAATTATGGATGCCGTCAGAGGCGATCGTCTCAAAGATTTTGGCATACAGAGCATCTGAGAAGTAGGTAACTGTAAGAGATATTGGTTTCTAGTCATAGCGTTATGATAATAATAATGTAATTCTGAACACATTACAACCTGTAGTGATGTATGACAGTAGATTGGGGTAAGATTGGATATATTTTCAGTAATGCTTAATACCATCAAGATTTGTTTAACAGTCATTCACTCTTCCAAACATACTGTGTATCCCATTGGGAATCTGAGGAGCTCTGTCTCACTCCTCTTGAAGCGCCCGGCTAAGTTCAGCCATGATTCACAAGCCTGTCAAGTCTAAGATCTGTTCAATGGGGGAAAGGTTGTGGTCATGGCATTCTGTGGATGTATTCTTCAAACTCATATGATGTTCAACGCCTATCAAGGAAGTGACAAGTGCACCAGGAATCATCTGAAAACATGAAACATAACCGGCGAATATTACCCTAATTTCGAGGTATTGTACACCATATGTCCTTTTGCAATTTGAAGATTTGTAATGGGCGACACAACATCGTCGAACACAGGGATGAGTTGCATGTGGACAGTTTCTGACTAAATGAAAGTTTGCAGCAATTTGATTCGACGTTTAGATCGATTTCTTAGATACTGGATTTGTATCAAACGATCATGTCGAGTGGAGCCGATTCTCAACATTCTGTATTTGTGTGTGTATTGTTAATCGCAAGATGTACTGGCCAAACCAATAGCCCGTAGACGTTCCATGCGTGGTAGGGGCGGTGGGGTAGCCTTGTGGTTAAATCGTTCTCTCGTCACGCCGAAGACCCGGGATCGAATCCCCATATGGGTGAATTGTGTGAAGTCCATTTCTAGTGTCTCCCGCCGTGATATTGCTGAAATATTGCTCAAAACGGCGTAAAACGAAACTTAATCACTCACTCCATGTGTGGCAGATGCGAAATCGCTCTTTCATAGTACACTAAGAACGATTGAAATCAAACAAGGAATGGTAAGCAGAATCGCAAAGATGGACAGAAATGATGGTCAACTGAATTAATCGTCCTTGAAAGTTCCAAAATCAGGAATGACTCCCGTGTGTGAAGCTTCTGCGTGCAGCAAGTGCAAACCATAGGAAATGTTTGGGTGAAAAGAAAGCTTTACTTAACCCTGTTCTAGTAATTGCTAGAATTTATATTTTAAGATCGATTACTCTTTGGGAGAGTATATTATGCCCAGAGTAATTAATTTACCTAAACATGCAAACAACGTGGAGCCTCTATTTCCGTTTCATCTTGTGACTTTTAAAATGCCTTAACAAAATACTACCAGTTCTTACGTTCACAACAAATTTAAGGATTTGGTTTTTGAAATCGATCCTTAAAAACATGAACTCTGATCTTTTCCTTACGTCATGTCTAATTTCCTTTCCTCCTCCTTTTTTAGAGTTTCTTTTTACTTCGCAAGGCCTGTCCATTTCCAGCATTCACTGATACAGTTCATTATAGCCAGACGTTCAATTCCCCAGATACGCCCTCCATGTCGCCACAGAGGATATGTAAGGTTCCAAAAATAAAAGAGGAGAACCCCTTAACATTAGTCCCTTTCAACACTTCATACGTGTGAAGTAACCTTATAATATGGATTAGATGATTAGTGACGCTGTGCTGAATTAGGCCGGACATATTCTCTCACAATGCGGAAAAAAGCTGCACGGTCTTCAAAAACCCAGCATGATATATTTTTCAGAAACATCTTTGAAAGTGTTCTTGTGACCCGATAGGCGCCTTTAGAGATAAGAGAACAGCACGTTGGCTGTGTGCTTTAATGTTGTCAAATATTTTCTTTCTCTCAAAGTTGTTATTTTTTTTAAACATTTCACATAAATATTGATCATGACAATATAGTACAGATCAATCTCTCAAGGAGGAACTTGTCATGACTCAGAAAAGATATGTGAACTGTGCAAGACACTCAACGTCGATAAATCGTAGAACGACAATGGTAAAGCTTTGAACTTTCAAGACATCCTCCTTTTTGTCACTTCCAGTTTATTATGATTTAAAACAGAATATTTAAATGTCCAGGTTTGGACATAGAATAGCATGAAAACATAAAAATTGAGCCACATTGAAAACATGCCTGGGGAAATAGTAACAAATGTTTCAAGATTTTCTTTTGGGGAAACTGTGCAAATGGATCAATATGGATCAATATCCAACATTGTTCTTGGCTTAAATTACACAGAGACATTAAAGTTAGATGGAAATATGGACATATGCGAAGGAAACGTTTTCGACATTACGAGAGGAGCATTCACTGTGAAGAAGGCAATGATTTAAATATAAACTCTATTCACGACTCCATGTTTTACTTTGTGCGATATTTTTGATTTATCATATATACATTATCAAGTGCGAAAATTATTACAGTGTTAATGATGCATGATGCACGAATAACACACTATACAGGAAGTAAATAATTGTCACAAAGCCCATTCAATAAACAGTAAATATCTACTGCAAAGTAGTACAACTAAATCATGGGCATGTATTTCATGAATCTCTGTCATATAGTGGCGAAAGGATAAGCGTATTCTGCCCCACCAGTGGCACCCTTATAAACACATGCAAAGGCAAGTCAACTATTCTGACGCAATGTGAGTTTATTGCTTGAATCCGTATCTTACCAGATCTGTCAAAAGGCAATTGCTTGAAACCGTATCGTAGCAGATCTGTCAAAAGGCAATCATATTGGCTGGTAACGTATATCTCATACATAATCATAAATATATTATCCAGCTTATATTATACATCTAGGTCCACCAGGCGCCAGAAAACGACGATCGTTGGTTTGAATCCCAGATTTCGAAACTTGGTTTGTCTACACCATACCAAGGGGGTTCCAAGGAGGCGGTAGACGATTTATATCGTTGGGCTGTCATGCAGCGTCATGCTGATTTAACGATATATAACTGACACATTGCGACTGTTCAAAGCCGCATGACAACAAACTCACTCACTCACTTCTGAGTAAAAGATGAAACCATTTGTTGATATTTATTGTCCATACAAAAGGTGGATGTTGCCAATGAAGATTACCCAAACTCAGGGAAGTGAATATGTGCATGATAATAATTGAGTGAGCGTATGGTTTCATGTTGTCTTTAGCAATATTCCCTCAACAGGAAATGGGCTTCACACATAGTGCTCCTGTGGTGAAACGAACCCAGGCCTTCGGTGTGACGAGCGAACGCTTTAACCACTAGGCTGCCTCACCGCCCCTGTACACATTGATGACGCTGTAAGACTTTAACCTTATTCTTAACATATTTTATTCATGAAGAAACGAAACAAATGCCGACTGCAATCACTCATACATGTCTGAACATACAAAACTTCAGCATAACAGCTCCTTGGTCATATTCTTTTGAAATGCTAAATGCATACCTCTTTTCATAGATGCATGCAAGCAATACATGTATAAACACATTTGAATTGTAATGAGACAACTCTTGAATCTCCAAAAAGGGACAAAACATTTGAATGAAATATAATTGTTTGGTTGTAAGTCTCCTTACCATAAAACATTTGAATGAAATAAGTTTTATTTGTATGTGATACTAGCAGTGCATTATATCACATATTTTCTCAGGACAAAGAGATATATGTATGGGCGTCCAATGGGATTTCTCTTCTTTTACATGCTTACAATCCGGTCTGATAATCAATTTACATGCTTATAATCAGGTCTTATAATCCACACTGTTTTCCGCATTTTGTTGTACACGTTGCAGCAGTTGTCTCAACAATACCCCAAACAGTAAAATATTTGAAAGGTACCCCAAAAATTTTACAGTCATTCAGTGAGTTTTGTCCATCACTGCAGAGATACCCTTATGAATATGCCATCAATACCCATACAAATATGTGTCTTAATATCTGAGATGTGACTGGCTGAAAATGAAATCTTGCACCTTGCAACGGTTAAGATAATGTATTACCTGAAAACCTAAACAACCTTACAACTCATAAATGAATTAATTTGAATTGAATAAGGAAAAAACACATAGTAGTTATGGAGACACCTTAGTATTTGAGACTTTTGAGAGACAATTCTATTCCTTTGTTAATACCGGACATTTACTATCCATATGAGCCTAAAAAGTATGCATTCATTACCATAATTATATGAATGAATGTGTTATACTATACTTTTCGGGTTCAAATCATCATTATTGTTTTACGCCGCCTTTATCAATATTCAAATATCATCACAGCAGGGGACACAAAATCCTCGTGAGGAGTGAAGACTTTAACCATGGAGTTGCCTCTGAAGTATCATCACGAACATTGCTCATATCTTCGGGAAATGACTTGTAGCATCCATATTCATGTGTGATATAACAACAGGTGAATTTTATCAACTCACATCATATCACATATGTACCTTTCCTTTAATGTTCATATGGATAGTGAAATGCAAGCATTCGGAAAACTCCAACTCAGTATATGACATTTAGATACATCAGAGGTCGACTTCTCACAAATCACAGATCCTTCATGTTTGAACTTCAAGCGCGCTTCGTATGAAGTATTCGCAATAATCGTGTTCAAAGGCATGTAATAAAATACGAAAAAAAAATCAATAAAATCATTCTTTTCAATGTGCACATAGTATCATGAGTCCGCATCGATCTGTATTTAGCACTTGTCTTCATTTCTCCCCATGAAGATAGGGATTAGAATTGGTGTACAACAATTCTGTTTATCGTAAGAAGGGATCAGTTGATCAGCCTCGCTGACTTGGTTGATGCATGTCATCGCATGCCAGTTGCGTAGATCGATGCTCATGATGTCAATCACAGGATGATCAGTTCCAGACCGGATTTATTTACAGACCGCCGTCACACAGCTGGAATATTGGCGTGAGGCAATAAACAACATGAAAACAAACATCTCCAATTTGAAGTAGGTTTGTAGGCCCCATGACAGTTGCCACGATGTAAAGAAGTGATTAGAATGTTCGTATTTAAGTGTTACATTTCCGTTGACGAAAATCACTCGGTGTTCCGCTCACTTTGTGAAGCAGAACACTGGTCCTTGAAATCCAGTTCCTCATCACGAAGGATAATGGCAACGACTGAGTGCATAAGCGATTACACTCCAGTTTCCAATATTGCTGTCTTTGACAAACGTTCAGCATCAAGTATTTCCCAGCGTGCCCTGTTTCCAAGAACCCCGTCTACCATCTCTTGGAACATCGGGTCCATCCTAGCCAAATGCTGAAATAGACAGATCGCAGATATATTGAGAAAGGTTTAACCTGCATCAGCAAGCATTAAAATTAACTAAATACAAGTGGGAGAAATCAAACAAATTACACTTCTGTGAAAAGGGCTAATGCATTAAAAGCGACGAAAAAATGTCCAATGACACAAACAAATCTCTGTTAAGAGCAGAATCCATTGTACGATTCCGACTATATCATGAACATGACATTGTATTTATGAGACTCTATAAAACAGTGATGATATTGGGTGTTTATATAATAAAGCTAAAACCTCTGTCAAATAAAATGTCTGCAGATTAAATATATATATTTTTCACTTGATGAATGAGCAAGAATTGGCTTTGAAATGTAAGAATAAAAAGAAGTTGTAATCCACAAAATGTGTCATGTATTCATGTTGGCCCAACTTCAAAATGTCTTTTAAGAATTTCAAGCACAGTTTGCAAGACCAATACCTTATACAGGGGAAGGCAAATTCCGTCAATCCAGCCTAGCTGCAGCTTGGCAATCTCATCTTGTTTTTCTCTGTCCATGCATGCCTTAAACATAGAAATAAGATGATCTCGTTGTAAGAAATTCATATTTCTTTGTCACCGATAAGCCGTGTGGTTCCTTTGCTATTGATTCACAGTAAACAAAGAACTTTAACAAATGGAAAAGGAAAACTCTCCACGGAACGTATTCAGGCGTTGTTGTCAAATAACATGGCAGTTCCATCTAGTTAATGTCAAATAGATGTTTCGTATAAGAAATTCATTTTCTCATTCACCATACGGGATAATGATGTCATTTGAAAATGTGAGTATTGAATATTCTGTTTCACCTAAAACTGATTACTATCCATTTGAAACGTTTTCTCCTAATGCTCAAGTGACTGTTACAAACATACATAGATGCATGCATGCATGCATGCATACATACATACATACATACATACATACATACATACATACATACATACATACATACATACATACATACATACATACATACACACACACATACATACATATATATATACATCCAAAACATACATACATACATATATACATACATACATACAAACATACAAACAAACATACATACATACATACATACATACAAACACACATACATACAAACATGCATGCATGCAAGCAAATAATACATACATACATGCATGCATACATACATACATACATAATACAAACAAACAAACATACATACATACATACATACATACATACATACATACATACATACATACATACATACATACATACATACATACATACATACATACATACATACATATATACATTAATAAGCTATAATTAGTGAAACAATTATTGACACATCTGTAGATATTCTTACTCGCGCACGTGCTTGTGTATGTATAGCACAAACCAGAATGTTATCCACTTTAATACAGAGCACAAGACAGGGTAAGAACAAGTACTATTTTGACGTCTTTTTAACTAAAACAACAACACCAGGCAGAGGAAATGTATTGATCTTTTTTGTCGATAAGGAAACAGAATTGCAAATTATATAACCTAGATATCTGTTGTGACGCTTCAAGGTTAATTATCAAATATGCATTCTACTAGTCTCTCGTACAGACACTGAAGCAAATATATCCAAGAAAGCCCACACAAGTCTAGAAAATGTGTCAAGTCTAGATTTCCACCGCTTCAGGAAAATGAAGAAAATCTCAGAGCTCCTTTTCATTATATTTTATTTTATTTTACTATGAACTTTTTTTCAGTAAAATATGTTCATTTCAGAGACTAGTTGTTAGTCTAGCATTCTACCTGTGGCTGTATTTTGAGTTCATTGCGCTCTTTGTCTCCTTGGTCAAAGAATTCTGTCATCACAAGTTCCGCATTCTGTTGGAAAGAAAATAAGAAGCTGTACAGACACATAAACGCATAATCAGTCATTTTACAAGAATCCAACTAAAGCACATCTAATTAGATTCTAACCAGAACAAGGCATTGTAATGTTCCCATGGGTAAATGCAAAAAACAACTTAATTTATGGGGCCATTGTGCCAATATTACAAATCAATGAATATGCCTTTCAAAGTGTGTCGGTATATGATAGTTGTTTTCATAGCAGTTCAGTAATCAATGTTTGAAATCTGGAGCAAACGATATGAAACAGTATATAATAATGTTTGCACATGTTTGAGAGACACTTGAATAGGTATTGTAAACCAAAAGTCACCGAGTTCTTTAATCGGATTGGTTGAAAAACATGATCGAATGGTATTCAATTCGCGGAAAATTCAAGACTATTCGCTCCGTATTGACACGTACAAATTAGAGGATAAACAATTGGGAGACAAACATTGGGAAAACAAATTAGTAGGTAAAATGACGATGCAACAATACCATTGTGTGCGATATTATTGTGATGATATATTATCATCTGTAGTGCCACTGAATTTATTTTGTAACGCTTTATCACTGCCATTGTAAATCCTTTGAAGTGACTTGTATTGATCTATAAACTTCGTTACATTTAGTTTATAGTAGACAAGTATATCACATTTCGTTGATGTGGGTTGGTTTCGGAGAAATATATTTTACCAACTGATTTTCTTATTGTTTCATTTTGGAATCAACAAGTAACAAACGGAACCCAGTCCGTTTTGAACAGTCAGTGATAACATTTCTTTCCTTGGGTGTTCTTAAACTCCGGCGCATCCGATTATATTCAAGCAATTAATCGTGTCTGAGTCAGACAATCCAGTGATTGACATCATCAACATCGATCTACACAATTGAATACGATAACATGTATCACCCAAGTCAGCGAGTCTGACTACGGTAACGGTAAGCGCCTTTTAGGACAAGCGGATCTTCACAGGTCTTTTACGGATCTTCACACATCTTTTGTGGATCTTCACGGTGGTTAGTGACCGTTAGTGATCTTGGACGTTAGGCATACTTTATCCGTACACTTACGCTAAAAAGATTTTTTTGACAAAAGGTTCCTTCAGGGGAAGAACAAATTTGTGGAGCTGATATCTGAACACTGATGAAGGCTTTGTACGTTTTATGTGGTGAGCATAAATGGTATAAATCTGTTCTTCCATGATGAGATTTTACAGTGTGCCTGTGGCAGATCCGACCACTTAGGAACTACTCTCTTTGATTCAAGTCCCAAGGATACATTTCCCACTTCAACCCGGTGAATTACACAACATTTTGAAAATGTCAAATCGTTTTAGAGAGAATTATTGACATTTACTCTCATAGGTATCGTGGTCTTCCTTCAAGACGTGTTCAACTCGTGTATTCGCGTTATTTTTATTTATTTTTTCTTGATCTCATTTTTATTCTTATGAAAGAGATATGCTCACACACTTATAAATTCATCGACATTTTAGAATATAGATCCTCGCGGTGTATCCTTCAATATAAATATTATCCTTTGATGACGATGATTGGAATTGACGTTATTGACAAAATCGATTGTGTTAATGGCTCCTTTGATATAAATGTTATCTACTTACATCTGACATTTTAAGTATCGATTAATCGTTCAAACACATATGAGAGGTTCGCGACAGCCATAACATGTAAAATAACGCGAACAGAGAGAGAGAGAAAGAGATGGTCCATCGTCTAGTGATCCTTTCTTGCTTCGACATTGCAAAAGAAGCTTTCTTGGAAATTTATACTTCTCCTCTTTTACGTAAAGGTAGTATATCATCGTTAGCAATACAATCAAATGCAATATATAAATATTGTCGTGGGCAATGTAGCTCACCTACATATGTTGTAAATAGTTCCGATAATCACCGGAGGACACGTAAACAGATTTACAGTGATATATTTTCCGTAGAAATACCAGGGACCAAATAAACACAAACAGAAAAATGCTTGTGAAAAATAGTTTTATCATAAAACGAAACATACGGGTTTAGCTGCCTCGATCTGTAAATTGAAAAGGAGAGAGTGGGTGAGTGAGTTGGGTTTAAGCTTCTAGCTATATCATGGTGTGTCGTTATATAGCGAAAACCCGGAGAGATGTGAGCAGGTGTCCACCGTTTATTACAACGAGGACAGCATTTAAAAATGGACGATATACGTTTTAAAAACACATTACTTTTATACCACAATTTGGTCCCAGTTCTTACTCAAATGAATAAGTGATGGCAACTTAAAATATCGTGAAAAGAGAAGAGTACTTGTTGATCCCCTGCACTAACTACACTTATATTCAATTGTATTACGTTTCGCATAGAAATGGTTGAATAATGACCCTACGAAGATCAGTATAATGTGTTTAAAATGCCTTGGTAATGTCCCAAAGTATTTTTTTTCGAGCTGAATTTGAACATCTTGCAAAATGCAGGTACTTTCTGCGGTAGATGTGAAGCATGTGAAGTTTTAGCATTCTAAGAGTTCTGATGAGCTGGTTTTTATAGTGCCGGGAATTGCGTTTCTAGAGAATTCAGTCGAACTCCAAGCTAAAACTCCCCTCAAAGTTGTGCTAACGTACAGTAATAAAGGTTTTGTGAGTCCCTAAAATATGCCATTTTCATTCGCTTTTCAATAAAGTTATTGACGAAAGGCCTATCAACTTCACATTTACATATTTCAAAACAACGGCTAGTAACGGTTGAGGGTATTGTGCTAAATTTAATTGATATTTTTGCGGCATAATCGAATTTTAGCCTCAAGAACAAGTCGGTGTGTCATTATTGTTGGAAACAAGTGTGTAAAGCTTTATCGTCATTGGTTTCTGAGAAGAAGATGTACACGATACCCGAAGGACTATGGAAGACACTGTATAAACAGACATACATAAGCTCATAAGCTCATCTGACTTTGGGATAAGTGAGATATTAATAGACAAAACATTCATACGGTGAGTTTAGACTAACGCCACCTTACAACAATTAAATTTGATAGTGGCTTAATTGGGATTGAAAGTCAGAAGTGGTGCAGAGACGTTTCCCTCTTTGGTGAACCACTCGCACACGGGTGTGGTACTGTTGAACCTAAGAACAGGCGTTTCTTGGCCGTCTCAGGCACGCAAAGACGAAATGCAATACCTTAGCTGACTGGGACATCCTTGCTCACGAAATCGAAAGGAAGATGTTTCCTCAAATCAATAGATTTATCAATGTCTTACTTCACAGCAATGACTGGCTCTAGTAGTACTTAGACCAACCAGGTCCCCATTTGTGCCCAACGCGCGACTTAAATTGGGCCTTGTAAAGAAGCAATGTAGCCTGTATGATTCCGAGTCATCGTACGGCGACATCATGGGACGTTTAATATGTCGCCAACCATTGGTTTTAAGACCAACACTCGATTTCAGGCAACTGACTAAAATGACTAAATGAGAAGTTTGCAAATTTACAAACTCACTTCAAGTCCGCACAGTGGTGTTTGACTGCATCTACGTTAACATTACAATATTTCAGTCTATAGAACAAAACAACATGGAAACATAACACTGAAGTGCAAATTGTTCTCTTCATTCACATTTGCTATTATAGAACTTTGGTTTCGATGAAGTTCGTAACGTACCCTTCTCTGAACATCCCAGGGCTTGGAAATGGCAGCGATATCACAGCATGTCATCAGTATGCTCCGTAATATTTCCTTAGATTCTCTGTCATCCCAGGCTTGGTCACCTTGGTTCACCATAGTGAAGAATTTGTCCCGCACCCTCCTGTGAAGCAGACACAGAGGTTGCTTAATAATACATTGAGATTACGACATGGACCTGTTATAACGACAACATTGCCAAGGTTGTAAGATTATAGCAGACAGATGCTCTGACACATGGCTTGGATGTAACCTCCCATCACTTTAACTTCTTTGAGAGACATTTAGAAGTTGGATCAATATGGAAGGATGACAATATATGGATAAACAACTTCTTTATTACAGTGAGAGCGACGTTTCGGTGTAGGTTCTAACACCCTTATCATTATGCTTATTTAATAACGGTGTTGGAACCTACACCGAAACGTTGCTCTCACTGTAATACAGACGTTGTTCATCCATACATTGTCATCATTCCTCGCATCACTTATGTAGAAGCTGACAGGTTACAGTCTTTTCAATGTACATAATTAAGTGTCGTGCAGCCCTCGTTCTCTGACTTCTCAAGACCAATATAGCTTTCATTTGGAGTGAGCCAGTCAGGATTGTGTTAGGTGACATTTTGAATTGTCTCCTTGTAACCATGGAGGAGAGGACTCAAGAATGTCCAGTTGATGATAAATGAGGAAGGACTTTTCTCTTTTCTCCATTTGTTATGCTTGTTATTTTCTGTTGCTAACGGGTTACAACAAAAGCTGCAACCTATTTTGTAAACTTGGTAAGATGTTTAATTGTGTAAAACGGAGTAATGAGTTTGACAATGGGAATGATCGGTCCTTGTTAAAGTTCTTGTCTTATGTATGTCAACGATTTATGGCCTTCGTTGTGTAACTTCGATATACACGTCATGAAATTCCATTGTTATGATAACATATATATTTATATAGCGCTAGTTCCACATCACTGAGGGACATGCTCAAAGCGCATCAAGACAGACAACAGTAAAGACAATTAGTGGTAGAATTGGAAGAGGTATTGTTTTAGTCCAGATCTAAACACAGATAGCGTTGGTGCCCTCTTGAAGTTCAGTGGGAGAGAGTTCCATTATGAAGCAACTGCATGAGAGAAGGATCGAGCACCAAAAGTGTTGAAGTCAGTGCAAAGTGGAATCACAAGAGACGCTGCTCGCCTTTTCGTAATTATATAATTTTAAAATAACATATTTGACTGTGATATGAATGTTCATCCTTCGTCATTTTCAGCATTTCATCTATTGTGCAAATGCCGTCGATGACAATCCGATGCTACGTTTCCGCAAGCTTTCGTATCTCGTTACCCCCTTGTATGCAACACTTGTGACAAGTGTGCAAGGTATAGGTTTGCTACGTTTAAACATTCATAATTCAGAATCAAAATGTGAACTTTAATCATTATATCCATGGTTCGATAGTATCATTTGCAAATCTCTGGCGCCGATACTATGTTTCGTTTCTCGTTTTCCCGTGTATGCAACATGTTAAAAGTGTTTGCACCTTTTAAACATTCCTAATTCAGAATGTGAACTTTAATCATTATAGCCATGCTTTGATAGTATCATTTCAAAATCTCTGGCGCCGGTACTCCTTTCTTATCATGTTTTGGAAAACAGTCAAATGGACACATCATAATGTGATATAATACCCCAGCAGGCGGAGGCCCATTATGCGTCGACGAGACGTATGCCTCTGAGCAGACCACCTGTTTGCTTTTACCGTAATAAATTGGATGGCTGGAAATAAGGATTTGAGGAACTTATATGATAGCATCTCCTGTATTCGCAGAAACCTATCCGCCACAGAGCAGTTCAATGCAGACTCATTAGGAAAGGCAAAAGAAATGTGCACATGATATGATTGGACGTTATGTCTTCCTGTCAGAACCCTTCCTCTGTAGGCAAACTATACTAAAGGTTGTGTCTGCCTGGCAGTTACCGTAATGGTCAGTGGTTTAATTAAGGTTAGGAGGATCTGATGATAGATGGAGGATGTCATTAATTTAGATGTGACTTCAACCGGGACAGAACGTCCCTTTTAACATGGCCTTTCCACCAAAGGATTTTCAGTCACTTTGATTACCATGATAATCAATGTTGCCAGGGTTATCGACTTTTAGGTTCAGTTTTCAGGTCACTGGGCGCAAGGAGTATATATTTAACTTCAGTTATTTAGCGATGGATTCGGTCATTTATAATACTAGACATTCACATTTGTGATAACAAACTGAAAAAAATTTTGTGCACTCACATACATATACATATAAACATTTTTGCACAGGCAGCTCCACTAACTCACAGGTACAACACACACACACACACACACACACACACACATGTGGACAAGGCGTGATTTCGTTGACACTTATGGTAACATATGAGCTTTGGATTTTCAGTAGCCCATTACCTGAGCTTCCAAATATTACACTCTGCATGTTTTTAGCAATATGTATTTTTGGGGACAGAGTGGAGTAGTCGAATGGTTCACCCACAGGATACCAATTGAACAGCCTAAGCTGATTTAGATCGCTGCGAACAGAGACAGTCAGGTTCAGATTGAAATTTCTTATGACTATGGAAATGTTGACTTTCAAAGTATTCCAGTTTTACATCACCAGAGGGTATTAATGTCAGTTTATTTTTGGTGCCCTCTTTGTGTTATTGCAAAAACTTTGCTTAAACCGACATGACATCATACTCGCTCATCTATCCAAATTACGCGATTTCAACTCAGAAACATATGCCATACACGTTAATGTGAAACGTCGTAAATGTCACATTTACGTGACACTGTACATATCCCAGACACGCCATCCTGCTCGGTGTACTTTTCGAGACATTGTATAATGAATCTACAACAGGCTGTCTGTCAGCGTGTCACTCTCGGCGGGCAATATACTCACTGTATATGGAGGGACAGATCTGTGGCTAGGATTGCATGCTTCAGAATATTAACGACTTCGCTGTATTCTTCTGAACTAAAGTTGGAAAAAATGTTATGACCCTGAAAGGTAAGGACAAAACATGAAATACAACAATACTTGCATTACGTATTGTATTTGTGACGAAGTAGATTCTATTTTATTCTATTTCTGGTGTATTTTATGGGGATAGCCCGATGCAAGATATGGGGAATTTTGGTGCAAAACGCCTGAATGTTTGTTTGTCTGCAATATTCGATCCTACCTTTGAACGTATATACCTTGGCACAAAATGGAAGTAGGGTGGGTAAAGCTTTAGTTATTAACGTGTGAATCCCAATGGGTACAATGAGCACAAACGATGACACCCATTTCAGATGACCCTTAGTGGCTAATAGCGGCGTAAAACAATACTCATTCACTCACTGTAACTGGAGGTTAGACAGTGGAATTAGGTCATCCGTAAAGGCTCAAACAGTTCCAAATGAAATCACCAGTGTACATTTGACACATTACTCTGTATGAAGCACAGGAAGTTTCAGATGTCGCGAAAGAACCAACTCGATACATACAACTTCATGTACGCATTTGAGCATGATGTGATAACCATTTGTTTAAAATAGAACTTACATCGCTGTTGAGGATCATGATGGCGTGGTTGAAGTGGTGGTGCTCCAACGTTGCCTTTGTTCCATACAGTTGGGCCAAGGCAGAACTCGATCTGGTAACACATATAACAATTGCAATAATGAAATAAAAAATCTCTATTTTTACACCAGAACGCTATAATGCTAAATTTGATGTTCATACATTCCTTCGGATTCTCACGTAACAAACATTGAGTGTCATCATGCAACTCATGAATATTTTGTAATTTGTCGAACATTAAAACAGCGTCATAATTCGTTACAGACCGATAAGAGTTCGGTTAGCTTTGCATATGTTACTGTGAAAAAGATAACGTTCTACTAAAGAATAATGTTCAACTAAGCATGACGTTTATGCAAACTGAACTGTTGTAATGTCGCAGAACATGATACTCATTTAATGTGCTGCATGCATCAGACCAAGTTACTTACAAAGTGCCATGTGGAAGAAAATGCTTCCGTCGAGAATCAACATAAATGTACGTATACTTTCTGCGCGAAGACCGTCAGTCCATTGTTTAATGATTTTATGAATGATGCTACTACAAACTAACTTACTTCTGTTGGAAAGCATTATTCGTTCCTCTGTGGTCCAGATCGTGGCACAGACAGGCCACAATCAGAGCAAGACACTCCTTGTCACTCAGGTTCTTACGGATGTTGCATTTCTGATAGAAAAAGTTTCATGTTGTGAATACGATCTTTAAAGTCTGACTGTTCATTTCCCCAAATACGGTATATCCCAGAAATAACACGTCCAACGAAAGTACGTACGCGTTACATATACATATTACAAAATTTAGTTTTAGTTCATACAAGTTACATCTAAGGTCAGTTGGAGGTGCTGAAAAGGTGAAGCCCTTGAAGTGATAAAGTGAGATTGTTTGATGTGTTTATTGAAAGACGATACAATCACGGGATATCATGGTATCATTCATTGTGACGTAATAGGCCAGACAATGAACTTTGACATTTAATAAGGAGTAACGACAAAATCTTCTACAGTTTACAGAGAACAAAAAAGAGGTTCTGATTACCCAAAATCAATAATATTTTCTACGAAATCATTCTATTTTAGCCACCTTCAACCATTGCCAAATAGCACACATTCGGGTTGGCGTTTTGTTATCTCAAAATATGCTTCTTTCTCGTCAAAAAAGCATTTTGAACATATTTCCCAGGGCAGAAACGAAATCAGACCATCAATAAAGAGCAGTTACAAAGAAACACGGCAAACCTCTTAATCGTTTTTTTAGAACTTCTTAAATTGAATCCTCAACTTCGTTCAAAGTGTGTTTATTGACACTCTCGGAAATGTCAAGATAATCGTTACAACACTTTAATCCGCACTTGCTGACACTTTTCGTCAATATTCCAATCGCCTTTTACCTCGCCGTTAATACTATTGACCAAAGGCTTTACAACCTGAGGTTATATTTTGTGCTTAATTATTTTCCGTCGTCGGCCGTTTATATGGCTGAAATAACACATTATTCATACATAAACTGGCTTCTACTTTCACCCATTCATTTGACTGGATGAGTTTAAACTGAGGGGATTACTTTATAAACAATCTATATATTGATACGTCACTTGCGTCACCCAGCGTTTCAAATGGAATTGCACTTTTGGAATCGATCTTTGAGTTTGCAGGGTACTTGAAACATCATATCCTTGGAATATAAATTTATATACATGGCAATAACCAGTCTCACTGATCTGTCGACACACATTCTGCTTCTATGACAAAGCGTTCGCGATAAGGGTAAAACACATTTCAAATATGTAGAAATGTAACGATCAATAATTAAAATTGCGTACAATATGACATATAATGAAAATACATGAAAAGGTTCAGTCCTCGTGTCATTACTTCTAAATCAATGTTAATTAATTAATTGCTAATTTCATGCAACATGCACGTAAAATTGAGTACTACGACCATTAGATGTCTTCACAGATTTAATTTCAAAATAACTTCATTTCTTTAGAGGTTACTATATATACTCTCCCAAAAAAGAAACGCATCATGAAAAAAGCAATTTCATGCAGCAATGAATTAAAACGTGATTCATTTTACAAAAGGTTTTGCTCTGTTTATGAGTCCTGTAGTGATTATGTTTTGAAACATCACAACAAAACGCACCATCCGTAAAATACCTGTATTTAACAGCATGATTTTCAATTTCGGCGTGTAGTGTCACATAATACACAATTCACATGCGATGCACGTGAAAGTTTGGGATCAGAGAGTCTCAATGATGGGTATAAAAGGTTGATCGCTGTCTGTCGATTATTCACTGTATTTGGAACATTGTTGACGAACGCAAAATGCCACGTCTAAGTGAAGCCAACCCTCATATCGCCATTGGTTTGCTTGAAGCTGGACAGTATCAACGTGCAGTTGCCCGACGCATGAATGTTCACCAAAGCACCATTTCACGGCTCTGGGAGATATATCGCCGGCAGAATGCGGTAGCAGATGCCCCTCGTAGTGGGTGACCTCGAGCGACCACTGCGGCGCAGGATCGCTACATCCGGGTACATCACCAGCGTCATCGAACAGCTACGGCGACCAGTACCGCTCGACAAATACCCGGATTGAGGAGGCTTTCTGCACAGACCGTCAGGAACAGGTTGAGAGAGGCTGGTTTACGTGCCAGAAGAGCTTATTTTAGCCCTGTGCTTCGACAACAACTTCGTCGACATCGAGTTCAATGGTGCACCAACGTTCAGGCCTGGAACCTACCGAATTGGCGTAGAATCTGGTTCAGTGATGAATTACGATTTCTATTGGAACGACGCGATGGAAGAATGCGGGTGTACAGACGTCGACGTGAACGTTTCGCCGACGCTTGCGTTCCCCAGGTGGACAGATTCGGCCGGGGAAGTGTTATGATGTGGGGAGCGATCACCTGCCGTAGATCACAATGCCAGGCCCCACACAGCACGTCACACTAGAGACTTCCTCCAGAACCACAACATCAATGTGCTCCCCTGGCCTCAAGATCACCGGAATTAAACCCGATCGAACATCTGTGGGATGCCCTGGACAGACGGGTGCGACGCCGTAACCCTCAGCCCCAGACACTTCAGCAACTCGCACAGGCACTACAGGCAGAGTGGGCTGCGATTGGGCAACACGAGATTCTGAGACTTATTCGTTCGATGCCTAGGCGATGCCGTGCAGTTCTGGATGCCCACGGTGGTCACACGAGGTATTGACTTCAGCGCCACCACACGTCTCCATGTGACACTCAAACTGACTTTCCTCGAGTTGGTGCCAAAGACGGATAAGTCTTCATTCCCAGCGTGCAATTTCGATATAATTCATTAACTCATAAAGCCTACAAGATGTTTCAAAATAAACATAAAAATCCAGTTGAAATTCCTATATGCGTTTCTTTTTTGGGAGAGTATATAAATCACAGTTACTCTTTTCCCTTACATACACATTCATAAACAGGTTTGATAAAGTACTTATAGATTATTAATGGGGCGTTTATTCAATTCATGATTCAGTTCCATCCTTCAGTTCACAGACTGCGCTCTTACATGTATTGCTGCGAGCAACGTAAAAACTGATTCACTCGCTCTCTCCTTTGTTCCCTTGGTACTACTCAGCTGTTCTACTTACACTCATTAACGCAAACATAACCTGGCACACATTAAATGCATGCCTCCAGTTGTGGTAGGCCACCACCCTGTAGTTCTTCTTCACAGTCAGCAGCCAACGGTACAGTGTCTGGCGAACACAAGAAACATGACGGTTACTTCACAGAAAAACGTCAATCCGCATCGTCCTTATCTGACAGGCCCATAATGGTGTATAAATGTTCTGAAAGAGAGGTTGTCCATTTCATGTCAAATACATATTTTTCTTCCTCTGACCTGCTTTTGTTATTTGCATTTATTTGACAGAATGGTTTGTTAGATGCGAATGTAATATAACCCGTGAAGATCCGCATTATAATCGATCTTCAGTAACCCATGCTTGTCGTAAGAGGAAACTAACACGATCGAGTGGTCAGGCTCGCTGACTTGGTTAACACATGTCATCGTGTCCCAATTGCGTAGATCGATGCTCATGCTGTTGATCACTGGATTGTCTGGTCCAGACTCGGTTATTTACAGACCGACGCCATATAGCTGGAATATTGCTTAGTGCGGCGTAAAATAAAACTCGCTCACTCTCTAGATGCGAATCACATTTATATCACACAGTACGTCAGCACAGGGAGTATTTTCTCGACAGTATTCTGTGGAACAAGACGAACAAATTACAGCTGAACATCGTCTGGAGCCAGCTAGATATCCTTGGCCGCCGGGTCATTCCGGGACTCACGCTTGTTCCAGTTCCATAGCAAGTACATGCATTAATATATCATGTCTATTCTAGACATGCACTAAGGACTTAATGCTACGTTCCCTACTGTATTACACTATACATTATTTATCTGTTTGACTGCAACATTTATAAAAGGCACACTCATATCAATGTGAAACAATTAATTCTGCCATATTAGTCACTAAGATATTTATATCATTACGACTCAATGCAACATTCAGATAACACAGGCTTTATGCGGAGGAATGGAGGATGGTGCCATCAAATCGAATTTTCCCGCCTATTAGTAAGCTACTTTTCAAATGGTAATAAATATTTCGAAACTTGTTACTAACGTTTTAGTGGCCATGTGAGTATTGGTAAAAAAGGCACATTTAGCATTCACATAAGCATTCACATTTACCCAGTTTGATACACTAAACTGTGTTTGAAACTGTTTCAAAGTGTTTCAAACGGGGACAAAACATTGCTTGATTGATAATGGGGTTTGACGAGCGAAACATCGTATTCACGTTTATAAAGGAGTTGAATTTTCAAAGTAACATAATTCTTAGCTACCATGCAGAGGTTGGATATTGCACAAATGGTCCAAGTGATTGGATTCAATCTTTATGTCTATGGGGTTGAGCATAGTTTGTTTGTTCATTGAATTTCTGTACGTTGTCCACAATATTTATCTGCTATAAATCAGTATTCTTCAATCGCGGCTTCCTTGCATGGAAACTCGTCTCCCTATCGATGAAAGCTACGTGCCATAAATCAATCAAAATGGGCGTGAAATTTCAAAAGCTTCGGTGAGTATCCTTCAGGAATATTTTACCCACCTTGTGTCTACACAACTACTCAGGATACAATCAACATCGTTCAGTAATACTGTATATCAGCTTACGTGGCGTAAAAACATCTGTAATATATATGATCTGTCAGAGAAATGTACGTTGGAATTAGTCCCACGAGTTGACAGTGCTTTCAGCTCTGCCCATTTGTGCTTAGACGGAACCCAGTTGTAAATATGTCAACGACAATGGGAGCTGCTATGGGGCTGGTCCCGGAATATTACGAGTTGGTCACGAATGATATCTTAGCTGGAGCAATGATTACTTTGTATTCAGTGCTATTTGTGCGACATGGGGGATGGAACGATGGCGACCTTTAGCTGTAGACTTTTAGAAGCACAACCTTGAACAATAAGCTGTGAAGCCAAATGACGTAGCAACACATGAATGACATGGTGGGTGTGCGTTTGGTTTGTAAAGTTTAAAATGTCAACGGTTCTGCAAACATAACTATTAAAGCAAAGTCATGCTTTGGATGTTTCGAAAAACAAGGCTACATTCCAATTCTTTTAAATGTAATATTTTTCCAAATCCTCTTTTTTCATAAAGCGAACTTGTATTTTGTGACATGTGACATGTTTTATTTGACATTTATGACTGTAGAATGCGACGCAATTATTTTTTTCGGAATCGCTGATAACATTTAAAAGCAAAATAACGCTCTGTAATCTCGAAAATGTCATGTCATTGTAACTGCTGTGTAAGTAGGCTTAGAATTTCCTTTCGTGTCAAGATCTCATTACACAGAAATGCACAGTATGCAAAATCTTTAAGTGTTTCATAATATGGACTATATAAAAATAATTTAAGATCGATATAAATATGGGAGGCTCATTGTTGTATTGTTCATGGAGGCAGAAGCAAGAGTTTGACACATGCAAAAGCTTGCTGCATTATGGGCGGAGTCGATACAGACATCAACAACGTATGTCACGTTTACGACAAACGACAATGGGCGGTGCGCAGTGGGTCTTACATCGTATTCCATCCGGAACTTCCGGATCAGCCCAAGGTCATGGAACATCCGCACAGCTGCCAGTACCATCTCATCCCGGTTGAGGGAGAAGTCATTGAAGTTTAGATCCCCAAGCCGCCATTCAAATTCCTCTGGTATTTTCTGTGCCTTATTAGTACATAAAACATATTTTAATTGAGTCATCAAATTGCATTTGTATTCGAACATATTGGCGTTTAATATTTCTTTCCAGATGTATCTACATCAATACTCAACGATGTGTAAGACTTAAGTAAGTGAGTGAGTATAGTTTTACGCCGGTTTCAGCAATATTCCAGCAATATCACGGCGGGGGACACCGCAAATGGGCTTCACATATTGTACCAATGAAAGGAATCGAACCGGGGTCTTCGGCGTGACGAACGAACGCTTTAACCACAAGGCTACCCCATCGCGGACAAATTGTTACATCGCTGAACACTGTCGCAGTTTAGTGTTAAATATATTCACTCATGTTCTTGCAACTATAATTACTTACTTTGATTTCAGTGACTTCATCTGATGATACGCCAGCATGGTAGGACAATGTCTGAAAGCCAAATAGGCGGGGTAAACGTTTACAAGTCAACACAGCACATTCAATAACAAAATAAAAAATGAATATTTAAATAGAACAATATCCAAGGCCTGTAAGTGTTGTAATCGTGCTACAACATTGTTACATACGTCAATGAATCAGTGTATACACGAGGGGGGATATTCTGCATTATTCCCATTTTATATCATTACAAATGTCATAATGGTATTTGGGTCCGCGAGAACAAATTGACATTAAATTGACAAATTCTGTTTGACAATTGTTAGCACACACGTGTCATTTTAAATTGTACCATGTCATGGCAGAATATATACATGCTTATACACTTCTTCCCAGAGTGGTTTTACTGTTAAAGGAATCAGTACAGCATCTGACACCTTTTGCTTAATCTCTCACAAAAGTAAAACAGAATTTAACTTGTCAGAACTCAATAAAGACGTCACCGTAATATTTCATAAAGTGAGATAAGAAATAGACAACACTCGAACTTCATTCTCATATGTCTGTCAAGTATAGAACAACTGCTTCTGAAGCGCCAGATCATTAACAGTTACAATACGATACCATCTAGATTTGTTCCTATTGCCTTACGATTAATGGGGCAACGCTACACCAAAGTGGACAACTCATCAAAACTTGTGGCTTAAGGACCAGTTTTAATTAAGACATGACAATATAGTTTTATTACCGTAAGAAGCACTACTAACATATTCATTTACCATTGTATTAGTCATTAAACCAAAAAGGTATTATGAAACGTAAATTAGCATATTGGTATACTTTGATCTTGAATCATGAAACTGTGGCTGTGATACAAACGTAATCTTCAAGCACTTTACTTATACAAATGGCACAACTTCAAGGTTATACATGGCTGTGCCACTAACATAAACTTCAAGTATCGTACAAAGACATACCTCCAGGGCAACTGCTTGTCTGGCAGCTGATAAGGACACCTCCTCGTACAGCAAGCAGTTATGGATTCCCAGACCACAGAAAATGGAGAAAGCCTGAGGAAAACATTTAGTCGTCTCAAACATAATTAGTATTGTTTGCATAAAATACATATAAATTCCAACGGTGAAGAGGGAAGTTGTTTGAATCTATTAATGATATCTTCGTGCAGTACATGCGAGATAGTACAGACGTATTGCCATGTTGGAAATATCAACACAGAAAACTGATGTCTGCCATTTGTAACGCTTGAAGGATTTGTCTAGCAATATGTCGAATAGACATTCGACGTTGTCGTTATTAGATGTGGAAAATTCGCCATATCCGGACAGATAGAACAAGGGATGCAGGTGTATATTTGACGCATCGCGGACAGATGTATAAATATATCTAAATATGACTGTCCATACAAATTGGAAAAGTCTCATAGGACTGGTTATACACAGAGAGTTCATATTGTATAAACAGTCAAACACCGAAAATTGATGTGTCAATATTATGGTTTTCTCTTTAGTCTGTGTTTTTATTTAGTTATCATTTTCGGTTCTGTCGAAGTATTAAGGTCCTTTGAGCTTCGACACAGCCGTGTGTGACTGTACATATATGTACACATAGTGTCACACACTTCTGTTACATATTTAATGAAGAACTCAAAAAGTTTCGCATGCATGTACAAACCTCAAACAGTTGATCATCAGGGTCGTCAAAAGGCAGTCCATCTGTTCTGTTGACAACTTGAGCTACACCTGTGTAGACATCAAATGGTCATAATAGTGTAAGTGCAATGGGTCATATCATCATGGTTGGCAGTTAAATAGTAGTAAGCAGCAGTCAGTGCAATGACCCATGTAATCAGATACAATACAGATTGATAGTACCATTAGAGCTATGACCATTTCTATTAGCATTCACCCATATAGATAACAGCAGTCGAAATATTTTCGATGATCATAAGAAATCTATTGAAAACATAGCCCACTGTACGTTTTGATTATACCATACGCCTATGGTTACCAATTACAAAGAGTGGTGAGGGGAATCCTGTCCATCGTTGTAGCCATCACAAACACATGCAAATGCAAGGCAATTTTACGCTTAATAACACGTGTAACAAATCAAAGCAGAGAAATGCATCTGATATAATTTTTGTGACTAATGCGTCCAATTTGGATAAGTGCAATAACCAAACCCCATTTAACATCCCCAGATAATAACATTATACAGATCGAGTATCCTTTTACAACGAGGAAAATATAACGTTACCTATGATTTGATAGTTTTTGTCTCTGATCGGCTTACACAAAATACTTCTTGTGTGGAAGCCACTCACTTTGTCAATCTGAAAAGAAATACAATGATCATTTTCGACTAACGGCTAAATGAGCTATGCAATATATAAAGCTTTAAAATGAAACACAAGAACATTATTTATCACAATCGATCGATTGTTCATTACGAATGCTCATGGACTACATGCTGGCATAGACACATCGGCGTAAAGTGATATTATAAAACCCACGAGGTTTGATAAATACTTCACATAACTATTACTCACACTGACATATATAGGCTAGAAGCCTTGAGAAGTATGGCAAAAGCAATGATAAAAGCTTTCAGATTCGTGAGGAGCAAAAATTCGTTCTGATATATGCTCACGGCCACTCAGATACTTCAATAACCTGGTGAAAGAAAGGACACTTAGTGAGATAACTCTGCCGTAAATTATTTGTTTCGGGATTTATAGACTTTACATTTTTTGGTAATAATTTGTGAGGAAAATATGCCAACACGAGGGAGGATATTCTGTATTATCCCTATTTTATGTTATTAAAAATGTCATAATAGAATTTGGGTCCGGAGACCAAATCATCTTAATTGACAAATTCTGTCGTAGTTTTATAACAGTTTTAGGACATACGTGTCACTTTGAATTGTACCATTTCACGGCAGTATTTATACGTGGTTATACACTTCTTGCCAGAGTGGTTTTACTGTTACAGGGATCATCCCAGCATCTGACATCATTTGCTGATTCTCCCACAAAAGTCAAAGCAAATTTAACTTGACAGAACTCAATAAAGACGTCGCCCTAATATTTCATAGAAGGGAATAAGAATTAGACAACACCGACATTCTGATACCGATCATCTCTTTTCTGCAAGGCAGCGTGTTCTATCCTATCAACATGTCTGTCGACTTTCATTGTCTTTCACAGTGGACATTACGCTAATGGAACTGATTTGTTTTACACAATACATGGCCAGGTTGGTTATAAATAAATTATGTGTGGGCGTCTGGCATTTGACATGTAGTGATCGGTAATGTAGGTGCCATGAACATGATAGGTGAAATGAGCATTTGTACGACACAAATATGTGATCGTATGTTTATAGTTTAGTTTAGTAGTTTATTACAGTGTCATGTGTTACATGGTACAAGACATGCACAGTGATACTATATACTTTCAAGTGTTACACACACAATATGCTAAAACAAAGCGCCTTTGAGCAGCTGAGCTGAGCTGGATATCGGCGCTATACAAATGTTAGTATGTATGTATGTATGTATGTATGTATGTATGTATGTATGTATGTATGTATGTATGTATGTATGTATGTATGTATGTATGTATGTATGTATGTATACAAACATACATACACACACACACACACACACACACACACACGCACACATACACACACACACACACACATACATACATACATACATACATACATACATACATACATACATACATACATACATACATACATACATACATACATACATACATATATTACAATATAAAAAACATGTTTTATAATTACTGGATACCTTGCAGCCTTTTATTATACATCTTATGGATGCATCTTGCCAGTTCAGATTGGATGCATTCAGTGACCATCAACCATTTATATTTATCATTCTCAGATAAACCACAAAAATTGGTGAAATAAGTATTACATATATCAAATAAATAATTCCTTAAACAGTAGTAGTAAGATGATCATAGTTTTCTCCTCAATAGCTTGTGTAAGTGTTCGCAACAGGCCGGAGGGTTAAACATGGAGGGAGGCGGGGACAACCCAACAATGTAATGTACATATATGAAGTATGTTTCCATATATGAGAGTACACTGAGGCCAAAAACACGACCAGACTCCAATGTTGTACATTGCTATAACACCCCGTGATCCGGGTTAGAATAAGTCTTCAGGAACCCATGTCTGTCGTAAGAAGCGACTAACGGGATCGGGTGATCAGGCTCGCTGACTTTATGGTTACATGTTATCTTATCCCAATTGCGTAGATTGATCATTGGGATGTGACTCAACGATTTATATGATTAAGATTCGATTATATACAGACCTCAAATGGTAGGATTATTGCTAAAGGCGGTGTTACAAAACACAAAGAAACTATAGATACAAAAAGACAAACAGGTATATAGATCACAATAACCTTATATAATACGAATTAGTGAAAAATGAAATAGAGTGATGTGATAACTTTGCTTTTTTAATCTATGATGTTAACTTTGCTTTGAACATAGCGCAATTTAAACACAGGGCGAAACACATTGGGGGATTTACGCAGAACAACGCAATGTAAACACAGGGAGAAACACACTGAGGGATTTACGCAGAACAGCGCAATTCAACACAGGGAGAAACACACTGAGGATTTATGCAAGAGCAGCGCAATTAACACAGGGAGAAAACACAGCGCAATTCAACACAGGGAGAGACACACTGGGATTTACATAGAACAGCGCAATTAACACAGGGAGAAACAACACACTGGGAATATTACACAGAACAGCGCAAATAACTCAGAGGGAGAAACACTGGGGTATTACGCAGAACAGCGCAAATAACTCAGAGGGAGAAACACACCGGGGTATTACGCAGAACAGCACAAATAACACAGGGAGAAACACACTGGAGGTATTACGTTGAACAGCACAAATAACACAGGGAGAAACACACTGGAGGTATTACGTTGAACAGCACAAATAACACAGGGAGAAACACACTGGAGGTATTACGTTGAACAGCACAAATAACACAGGGAGAAACCCACTGGAGGTATTACGTTGAACAGCACAAATAACACAGGGAGAAACACACTGGAGGTATTACGTTGAACAGCACAAATAACACAGGGAAAAACACTGGAGGTATTACGTTGAACAGCACAAATAACACAGGGAGAAACACACTGGGGTATTACGCAGAACAGTGCAATTAACACAGGGAGAAACACATGTTTATACAATCGAAACATGTACAGGATCTACATGATGTATTTGTTTAATGTTAACAGCAAGTTGGGTAATGCCCATTATTATGATATGGGTGGTAGAACTGGCCATTATAATTATTGTAGGCGATATGAGGTGTAGGCGATATGAGGGCAAACCCTGGGGATTTACGTAGAACAGCGCAGTTAACACAGGGAGAAACACAGTGGGAGTATTACGCAGAACACACTTCAATCTCTCGTTGTACAAACTCATCATCATACCTCTGGATCAAATCGAGCGTCTTGGTAGGCGTCAGCAATGTTGATTGTGTCGCCAGTAATGAGAACCAGTTCAGCGATCTTGTTTCCGAGTTTGAGATCAGAACAGCTTTCAGCACTGAAATATAGGTGGAAATGCTGACTTATTTGATGTCTTGAAGGATGACAGTATTGATTATTAAACTGGACCGACGGGTTAATTTCGGACAACACTTAGTTATTTATAGTTGTGGTAATGTCTGTACATGACATGCAAAGGCAGTCGATAGACCGCGCGGAGGAAGATCAAGTTCTAATTATTTTCTAACTATTTTCTTGTCATACAAGCATAGGTACCTATCACAAGACATGTACCTCCTCACCACGCTCATGCACATGGGGTCATACACAAAACCATCCCCAAAGTTAATCACGGTGCGAGTGTCTGTGCGTGTGTAGACCGCCTCCGTGGTGTAGTGGTTCGATCCCCGACCGCGTCATATCAAAAGACGTTAAAATATGGTACTTGTTGGTCCCTGCCTGGCGCTTGGCATTAATGGGTACAACAAGGACTGGTCGGCTCGGAGTCAGTATAATGTGTCTGAGTGGGGTATTCATGCTTCACTGCGGCATGGTATCTCACTGGGCTAGCACTATAAAACCAACTTCAGTCTGGGCTAGTACAAGCAACCGCACATACACATACACACGCATGCACGTCGTCATATGAGCGACATATTCTCAAGCACGACGTTAAACCCAATTTCACCTCACCTCACCTGTTCGTGTGTGCCTGTGTGTTGGCGCAGTGTTTCAACTCTATGAGGTCGACACATAATCAAGCCTGGACTACCCAATGGTTGATATTATGAGCAACGATCCATGAAGTCGGGGTACGACGACACACTATCGCTTAAACCATCGACCCTGACTACCTGAGCCATGTAGTCGTTTGATGCAACCAGCATAAGTTGAGGACCCAGCAAACCCGGAATCCCTAACGCGAATTTCAAGGTGGCATATGACGAAAGGTAATAGTCAATGTTTTATGTTCACAGACAAATAAATTGAAAGGCATATGTTAAAATTGAAAATAACAACAGTTAAGAAACACCACATGCAGTTGTACTTTAAAGGTCCCAAAACAGGAAAGATTGTGATACAGCGAAGCAAGCTGATGGTGATGGACAAGACATACATGTATAATCACAAGCAGGGCTTCATGGTCCTGAAATGTAGTTCAGCGGCATCGGGACTCCGTTTGATAAAGCGATTGTACCGTTAGGACTGTCGGAACAGATCTGACTTGCAATTGGTTCGTTTACAGAGCGGTCGCAGGGTTACTGCTGACGTAAGTGTTTTAACCGAGATTCGAATGGGCTCCTTTTGACAAGGAGGTCGAAATGCTATGGCTGGTGTAACACCCACGCTCTAACATAAACTTGCGGTAGCCGTGACCACGAGTGGTTTCCGATACGATCTTACCGATGCTGGTGGCCCGCCTGTATCTAAGGCTTACGATAGTCTTCAAGTTAACATTATTTCATATAAAGGATCGATTGCTATGACGGTTGTCTCATCTACTATAACTCATAAAAGTTCTAATTAATTGTGTGGGGCGGTGGGGTAGCGTAGTGGTTAAAGCGTTCGTTCGTCACGCCGAAGACCCGGGTTCGATTCCCCACATGGGTACAATATGTGAAGCCCATTTGTGGTGTCCCCTCCGTGATATAGCTGGAATATTGCTAAAAGCGGCGTACAACTAAACTCACTCACTCACTCTAATTAATTGTGGTAAGTGGCATTTATGGAGTAGATGCCTCGTAAAATCGGTTTCACTAGACTACTGCATTTTATCCGTAAAACACATTTTATCAGTGTAAGGTGAAACAGTTATGAACTAACATTGCCGCTTGGCAGCTTTTCACATAATTACAGACTCGGATATGTCAAGAATATTCACTAATAAAGTTGCATGCTTCATAGCCCCGTTCCACAAAGCGACACCTAAACAGAAACTACAACTCTGGGATGGCTCCTTCAGCCTGTGTCACCTTGGCTTGTGTGACCAATCGAAATAAACTCACATTCACAAATTACTTGTTACAGTCTGGGATAGGGCTGCAGTACCACAACGAACAATTTGTGAAACAAGTCCCTGTGTCATGAATGGAGAGCGAGCGCACAATCCATGAGATAAGTCCATCGATAACTGTTCGCTTTGCAGAACAGGGCCATGAAGGATTAGAGTGATATACATCACCGAATCTCTTTACCTGGAGAAGGTATTTGCTTGACTGTCTCCGCTGTTGGGCTTTAGGAACATCTTGCGTCTGAGGGTGCAACCACAGGAAGATGTGCAGATAGAACAGAGCCATTTAGTGCATACATGACGTCAAACACGAGAAGTAGTTTTACAGTTACAATCATCATTCGCGCACATGTCTTACTTAGGCATACAGATTTAACACACACATAAATCGCACAACACTCAACGAGGAAACAGGCAAGCGTCGTTTGGGGTAATGGAAAGCAAGAGTTGAAAATGATACCTTTGAGAATGATATTAAAGTGTGTGTAATGTTTTAAATACACTTGAGGTAAGACAGAACCTTATTATATCAGGGCGTATTTGAACGTATTCAAAGGTGATGCATAATGCATATATTACACAATTAACTGACAATTTGATATTGGACATATTGTTTCACAATATTCATAGATATGTTAATTACAATGTTCGCCATAGAATAGTCAATCGCGATTATCTTCAGAATCCATTGGCTGTGTAGGACAATAAAACAGAAGAATATTATATGAATAGTTTACTGATCAGTGATAAGGTAACGGGTTATTTCACCCCAAACACGTTGACCCCTGCACAGTTTCACCCCAGGCTGTCTTACCCGGGTTGTTTCCCCCCACTAAGAGGCTGTGTCACCCCAGCATATAATAATTATTATTATCACCTATAAAATTGTTTCAATATTTTATTCATCTATGTATAGTGTCGAAATAGCATATTCAGATTGTTTGAATAATTGTATCAGTTCATATTGGCTGTGTTGGATCGGCTGAAGTCCTTCACTTACTCTCTTTTGCAGCTGAGACAGATCTCCAAACATGCAGTCGCCAATGCAAGTGTAATATCTAACTCAATGTTGACTTACCTAAATGTTCAGTTAGGTTTTAAGCGTGATGAAAAAAGATGAGAAGAGATGAGATGAGATGAGATGAGATGAGATGAGATGAGATGAGATATAAGCAAAAGTCCTATGTGCCATCTCAACAAGGACACAGTAGCAGAACTTACCTGATTGTTGTAAAAACAATGGCTTATTAGGAATAACAGATTTAAGCATTAATACCATACTCCGTGTATACTCAGTTAGTTGGGTGAAACAACTCTTGATTAGGGGTGAAACAGCTTCTAATATGGGATGAAGTGACCCAGTTTTGATTTGGATGAAACAAGGTCGGTGAAAAAACCCGTGTGAAACTACTTGTGGTGAAACGACCTGGAACCAGTGATAATACCAGGTGTTCGTGACAAGGGTAAGTATGTGCCATTCTACTGGAAGAACCAGTCGCACAATTTGCGTTTGTTTGTTGCCTGCCCTTGAACTCAGAAATGGTCATGTCATACGATGGCGGCCTGTGGTAACAATGCTTGCACCAGCGTCTACAGAATCACCCAATTTTGATGGATGTGACAACCATTACAATTTAAAATACAAAATGCTTCCCGTTCATTCAGAGGAAACGTTCTGATGTTGAAAGCGGCACAATTCGTCGTATACAGTTGCCTCCCTTATATGTACCAGAATCTGTTGCCCGATCGTACATTCGCCCTGATGAAAATCTCAGGTTTCTCGAATCGTGGCTATCCTTCAACATTCAAACATTCAGCTGATTGAACCGAAATACTCTTCCAATGCTTCATTTAGCCCTTGTCATTCTTTTTCATTCGTAATTTACTTCTAACCTCCCATTAATACAATGAAAGGGCATCACTCCACGATTTATTCCCTTCTCTTTTGCGTCATCAATGCAACATCGATGGACTTCTCATTTCACCACGTCCAATGCATTATTGAGAGTTTAACGTTTAGCGACAGTATGAACGTCAAATGACGTCAAATCGTTGATTAGCTATACCAAAATATGGCCGCAGATGACCTTGATCATTGTTTACTGCTGGAGTCAGCTGATAATAATAAAATGAAAATCTGTATATGAGGCCACCATTGATTTCATTCTGTTTTAGTGTCACCAAAGTTGATTCGTGACACTGCACTGTCAAATCGGTTAACTAAAAACATATACAGTTGATCGTTGATTAGCTATACCAAAATATGGCCGCAGATGACCTTGATCATTGTTTACTGCTGGAGTCAGCTGATAATAATAAAATGAAAATCTGTATATGAGGCCACCATTGATTTCATTCTGTTTTAGTGTCACCAAAGTTGATTCGTGTTCAATACCATGGATGTCTAATTTTATCACATACACTGCACTGTATCATTCAGAGTTTAACCGTCCAAACTACATCGCAACGTTTTCATGATGAGAAATCGTCGGTTAACTAAAACATATACATCAAACATGGTTGTGTCGAAGTTGAATACTTCGAGTTTACCTAGGTTCGACACTAACGCAAACTGATGACTAAAGGGAAAACGTTGGTGCCAAACTCTTACAACCTTAAGTTCAACTCACCAACGTTTGACACAACGGGGTTTGAATATACAACAAACTACGGTTATAACGAACTCAAAGGGGTCAACAATTATAGATCGTTATAACGGTAGTTCTCTATGTACATTTCTACTTAACTATGAAGCGAGCGGCCTGGACTGATAAACAGTTCGTAATATTGGTCAGTTCGTTATAAGGGTGTTCGTTATAACTGTAGTTCTCTATGTACATTTCTACTAAACTATGAAGCGAGCGGCCGGGACTGATAAACAGTTCGTAATATCCGTCAGTTCGTTATAAGAGTGTTCGTTATAACGTAGTCTACTGTAGATCACGTTGAACATTATTGAGAAAATGACCGCGTCACTATCACCGAAATGTCAGAGCTGTCTGTCCAGTACCATCAACAGATTGCGTTTGTTTCACCCAGACTATCGCCTCGGTCCTAGCAGCCTAATAAATGATCCCATCTCTCTAACTCACGTACACCATGACCTTGCTGGTGAGGTCATGTGGAGATCAGTCAAAGCAAAGCTTTACAAGAACCAGAGCGATAGAGCTTGAATTATATGCCCAGGAGTGATCTTGTTCAAGAAATTAAATTTCCCAAGGCAGTGTCTATTGAACCGTCACCATATCCCATTTGGCATCCTCACCTTATTGCTGAGTGTCCGTTTCTGAATGGGCAGGCCAAATCGAAGACCTTGTTGAAAGATGTCTGAAAAGATAAGACCCAGAGGGGAAGGTACAACTGATTGGCCTCTCAAATGATTATATCACTGAACAGCTAGACTAGAAAAAAACTAAAATTACATATCCTTTGTTTAATTGAATTGCTCCACAACATACAATTAGGTGTTACCGCAAGCCAAACCGACGTGAACTGATATACCACAGTAACCAGATTCTAATAAAAAAATTAAATAAAAAGAAGTGGCTACATTAAACATGCCTTAGGGACATTTCGGGTCAGCATCACTGGCATCAAACTGAATACATAATTATAAAAGTTTATGTGTTATGGGTTCATTCGCCATTGAACGCCTAACGCCTTTTTAAGTGACATAGCAAATGCACTTGAATCTCTCATCATTGTCAATTTTAATAGAAAAATAAATTCATGTATGATGTTATCTTTGAAGTTAAAAGGCCACAACCCGTATTGAAATTGATGTTTCATGGGAATTATCATTGCAAATATGAAAATGGATAATACAGCCCACTGGACCTGTTACAGTAGCGGAATACTTGTAATAATGGTATTACATGTGGAAGACATGTTCAGATGGGTGACAAGTCTTTCCTATATTTGGAAACTATTCTTCTGGCACTTTCAGACAACGGAATGACTAAAATGAGCCAAAAAGGACAATTGGGTAAGATTCTTGCTAGGTTATTGTTTATGTTTTGCTTGTTTACCAAATTAATCACTCGCGGTCACTTGTGCTTTATTTTCTTGTGTACTATTTTTGGATTTGTCAGTTTAGCAAAGATACACTGACACGACCTATAAATCTTCCCAATTTATATGTATTATGTTTGAAATTAATTGCATATACGTGAACCAGCTATGATTGATCTGTCATATTTCTCAAAACCTGTTTTGGAGAATTTCTTTGCAACATTTTCGTTTGCACAACTCCATAATCAAATGTTTATTTTTATACGTCCCGCAAATGACGCTCATCTGCATTTATTCATGTTCTAACGGAGCCATCGGGGAATAAATGTAAATCACAATTGCAGCTGGCGTAACCGCAATGAATGTTTAATAAACATTTCACTTTAGTTATAGTGCTCCGTAGAGAACCATAATGTGCGTTACGGGGTGTTACGCGGATCAAAAAGCGTCAGCGTATATTATTTACATGACAATTCGGTTACATATTGTTTATCAAAGTTTCCTTAACTGACATTGCGTCCGTGAGTTTCAGTGTTGCTTACTGTGATTATAAAGGTAGAGTAAACCTGAACGTGCATACTATGTAGTCTTGCATGACAGTGGATATGTGAGTGAGTGAGTTTAGTTTTACGCCGCATTCAGCAATATTCCAGCTATATGGCGGCGGTCTGTACATAATCGAGTCTGGACCAGACAGTCCAGTGCTGAACCGCATGAGCATCGATCTACGCAATTGGAACCGATGACATGTGTCAACCAAGTCAGCGAGCTTGACTACCCGATCCCGCTAGTCACCTCTTACGACAAACATGGGTTACTGAAGATTAATTCTAACCCGGATCTTCACGGGTGATGTGTATATGTGACACGTGATGAGTGAGTATGGTTTTAAGCTGCTTTTAGCAATAGTCCAGATTGTACCCACGAGGTGAATCACCCCGGTGTTCGGCGTGACGGGAGAACGCTTTAACTCTCAGGCTAACCGCCCTGACATATGATGATGATTATTATGATTCTGCTATGTTAGAAGCAAATGAGGATGAAATCCTAAATAGTGTGGCCCAAGATACGTCTAAGGTAACGATTATCATCCAAATCCATCGTCACTTGGGGTGTTTTTTCCGTATTAAACTGACTCACAGTGATGTCACTAGAATACTGACACATTGCCGCTAACACATTCTAAAGTACATGCACAACGTAAACAAGGTGTATACACAACGTATGAACATTCCAGTCATTCAGCAAGGCTAACAATACTCGGAAAGAATAGGAAAAGATGCATTTGTCTAAACATCTAATATACACATAAACAGGGGAAAAGTCAGAAATGTGCTCCCAATGGAAAAGATTACTGTCAAAACCTTCACTACGTATTTTTACATCATACTATTATGTATTTATCACTGAACCCCAAATCAGTGTGTTTTCAAATACAATGTCCATGGAGAAACCATTTGAGAACTTCTGAATGTTTATAAAAGCGTTCATAGCAGGAAGAATAAGATGTTAACAAATGTTATCAAGATTATGGTTGATGGATTCTCTTTATGTCTTCCCCAAATCGTCCGTGTTGCCTAATGAGCTATGAGCAACGTATTAGCAATATTGCAGCGGCCATACCAGCCATGGGCTTCACACATTGTACCCATCTGGAGAATCGAATCCGATCTTCGGCGTGACGAGCGAATACTTTAACCTTTAACCAATCCTTCGCCCCATTTTCCTTTATGAACTCTGAATATATAACATATACTTGCTTCCAAATACCACCCAAACAAGAAATGCACCATAGATGCAACGTAAACCTCAGTAGCATTCTGAAATCCTCAATTAAATACGCTTGTGGGTGCTAATTAAAGGGGCACTGTGGTGAAATATCTACCGACCAGGAGTTACCAGGTTCCAATAATAAGCTATGACCAAATGAAGCATAGGTGAAGAGAATGCAGAAAGTCGGACATACGGAAGAACCGACCTCGGTAGTTCCATCCCTGAGCAGCACCGAACATCTCTCACATTTTAGCAGTGTTTGTGCCCTCTGCATAATCTTCAGAATGACGTTCTCGAGGGAGGTTTGGTCTTCGCAGAGAGCGTGGACTACTTCCAGCAGTGCCTAGGAATATGAAAAACAGAGTAATCAATAGCCCCAGCATACCGTCCGGCATACAAAGATTCAGATAAATAAAATGTTAAATATTTTAACGAAGGAGGGGTGTAACACGAAGCGTATGGGTGTAATTACAAATGTAACTTCAATGATGATATAACCTATATAACCTATAACGGTGTCCCCATATGTTACAAGGGAGCTGTTATGACACTGACATACCTATACTGAACACTAAAATAAACGCGAAACATCCTCATTCTTTGTTGCAGACATTCAGCATGCCTTTAAACTAATTATGGCCTCCAGGAAAGGTGTTACGCAACATATAGCTCCAACGAGACCCCACGCAGTGAACGAGCGAAGTTAGCACGTAAACATCGGCAAATGCATCGTTGCCACCTACGAGGACGCCAATAATCATTTCAACCAAACACCGTGATGCGTCGTTTTACAGACAGGGCGCCCATCAAGAAATCCAGTGTAGACTTAACGTCATTTTTATCAATGAGCTCAAACCAAATCAAATGGCGTCAACAAATATTTGTTTATACTATGTGCGGTTCTTTTACATTTATGGTGGTCTGTTGCATGTAGGTTCATTGTTCCACATTAGGTTCCGTGAAAGATCACCACGGCCTGAAAGAGTTCGAACCTGGATCGGACAAACCATGGTAATGTACCATTCACAATCAGATGCACCTGTGATCATTACTGTTCTTACTTTTCACAGCTGTTACGGCAAGTATATATTTGGTACCTCCTTTGGTATTATGTACATTCTGTGGTTACAATAACACCTAAAGCGAAGTGCCCGCTGAATGCAGTGAACCTATGCAGGTAAATACGAATAAATGATATTAATGCATGACACTTGAATGAATGAGTGAGTGAGTATGGTTTTGCGCCGCTTTTAGCAATATTCCAGCAATATCACGGCGGGGACATCAGAAATGGGCTTCACACATTGTAATGGGGAATCGAACCCGGGTCTTCGGTGTGACGAGCGGACGCTTCAACCATTAGGCCACCCCACCGCCCCTATGATACTAGAAAAGTATGCGACTATTGGATTACGGAACGACCATTACAGGAATCGATTGTGGTATTACGCCGCAGACAGTACATCAATATATTACGAGGGTAAATAATAGAATCTGAGCGAACAGTCAGTGAATGGCAATAAATGTATGATAGAAAGCAATATCAAGGTCACTCATTGTAAGAGTCAGGGTCGATATCCATTAAGTGAGTGAGTTGAGTTTAGTTTTACGCCTCACTCAGCAATATTCCAGCTATATGGTTGCAGTCCGTAAATAATCGAGTCTGGACCAGACATTTCAGTGATCAACAGCATGAGCATTGATCTGCGCAACTGGGAACCGATGACATGTGTCAACCAAGCCAGCGAGCCTGACCACCCTGAAGATCAATTCTAATCCGGACCTTCACTGGTCCATTTGCACTAAAAGTTCGTAGCTTTACGACCCATCGTAACTCAATATTTTATCGTTGGCTTACTAATGGCGTGGTGCGTACGCTTTGTGGACATGATCCCTGGTCCCCCATTTTACATGGTTCCTACTATCGCTGGAACCAGGAACCATTTCACCAATAGAGAGAATCTAGTAAAAATCAGCTTGTTCAGCATTTAACATTCCGTCTCAGAGATTGATAATACGATGTTTCGTTGAGATTGACATCCAATGATCGAGGATAAAAATACTAGAGCCTTGAGCATGCACTAGTTGCCTGGATATGTGCGCTATATAAATAGCCTATAATAATAATAATACCTTATTTCGCTCATATTCCTTGGAGTATGCCTCAAATATTTGAGCGTTGTGAATGCCTATTCCACAAAACGTCAGGTACGTTGCCAGCAACTGAAATAAAAATAATGTCCTCATTTAATACCACGCGAACATGATTGTAAACTGACGTTCTAAAAGAAAGTACACACCCGATTCTTTGGTAAAATATTTTCTTTAAAACAGCATTAATATTTAAAAAGTGTTTTGATTTTGCCTGGTCACAAACATTGTGCAAGTGTTTCCAAAACACCACTGATATTGTACCCAATTACAACATTGGTAGCAAAATATTTATGGTTTTAATGGGAATAGTCCCAAAACACAAGGTGTGTACTTTCTTATGTACGTCAGTATATAGCATTACAATTATAGCTGGAAAAACAAAAGACATATTTCGTCGAGCTTCCCAAATTGCACATACGTCTGTGTAAATATTTGATGGCCCACAATCTGGTAATGGAGGCACATATAGTTTATAGTGAAATGGTTAGTCATATTAAGTATCTACTAAACCAACTTGTATGAAATTAAGGAATGCGATATCCCCAAAGAACGGTTGAACTAAAGCGTATACCAGATAATGATTTCATAAGTGACCTGAGTGCTTCTTTAAAGAACTAAACTCAACGCATCGCTGAGGAAATCGTCCCAAGGGTGACGAAGGAAGATTTAAGCAGCGTAGCACTTCAGCCAGTTGACAGTCTCATCTTCATTTCGCCAAATCCCGCGACAATCCCGCGTTGAACACCGACTTTGTGCAGGAAGACGAATTGAGACACAACGATAGCATTTATTCATGAGACTAGGTGATAAGTGGATATTCCCAGGGAACCACATCCATGGCATCTTGAGCGACGTTTACACACGGAGGTTTTGGAGTAATTTGCTTCGGGAAATAACCAAGCCACGAAATCAGGTTTGGAGACTCGCGGTATGCTCAAGAGTACATAGTTATTATTTTCTCTTTTTTTAAAAAACCCAGTGCGAAGATAATGACTCCATGGTGCATTATATTCTATTTCCATGACCTAACTGTACTCTTTCCAATACGCATTTGCTCTAACACATTGCGAAAATAATGACTCCGTGGTACATTATATTCTATTTCCATGACCTAACTGTACTCTTTCCAATACGCATTTGCTCTAACACATTGCGAAAATAATGACTCCGTGGTACATTATATTCTATTTCCATGACCTAACTGTACTCTTTCCAATACGCATTTGCTCTAACACATTGCGAAGATAATGACTCCGTGGTACATTATATTCTATTTCCATGACCTAACTGTACTCTTTCCAATACGCATTTGCTCTAACACATTGCGAAGATAATGACTCCGTGGTACATTATATTCTATTTCCATGACCTAACTGTACTTTAACACATTGCGAAGATAATGACTCCGTACGCATGACCTAACTGTACTCTTTCCAATACGCATTTGCTCTATTGCGAAGATAATATACACTATTTGCGAAGATAACTGACTCCGTGGTACATTATATTCTATTTCCTATGACCTAACTGTACTCTATTTCCAATACTGTACTCTTTCCAATACGCATTTGCTCTAACACATTGCGAAGATAATGACTCCGTGGTACATTATATTCTATTTCCATGACCTAACTGTACTCTTTCCAATACGCATTTGCTCTAACACATTGCGAAGATAATGACTCCGTGGTACATTATATTCTATTTCCATGACCTAACTGTACTCTTTCCAATACGCATTTGCTCTAACACATTGCGAAGATAATGACTCCGTGGTACATTATATTCTATTTCCATGACCTAACTGTACTCTTTCCAATACGCATTTGCATTTGCTCTAACACATTGCGAAGATAATGACTCCGTGGTACATTATATTCTATTTCCATGACCTAACTGTACTCTTTCCAATACGCATTTGCTCTAACACATTGCGAAGATAATGACTCCGTGGTACATTATATTCTATTTCCATGACCTAACTGTACTCTTTCCAATACGCATTTGCTCTAACACATTGCGAAGATAATGACTCCGTGGTACATTATATTCTATTTCCATGACCTAACTGTACCCTTTCCAATACGCATTTGCTCTAACACATTTTAGTATAATCTAAATAGACAGGTCATTTTGTTTAGCTCATGGCTATGTGCTCCTACATGAAAAAGTATCATAGTCTTACAGTCACAGCAATTCGCGAGTACTGTTATGTTATGGCATACATCAATGATATTTGCGTTCAACAGTATTGGTTTAACAGAATCATGTTTTAGTAATCACATTGAGTTCATAGGTAGGAAGATGATTGTGTATACAATACCGCGAAATGTAATTAAGAATAAAATCACAAATAGAAAAGATATTTTGGCGAGCATTGAAGCTTCCCATTTCGACGAAAGTGCTATTAATTGACCGTGTTTTGATATTGTAGTTATTGTCTATGTGAAAGAGAGGCTCATCTTACATTCTCGTCATCTTTGGTGAAGACCTTCTCACTTCCTGTTTTGTTGAGGACCTGAGCCACACCCACGATTTCGTCATCTGCATTTTTGATTGGCTGACACAACAAGGCCTCCGCCCTGTAACCAGTAATTCTTCCGATTTCATCGTTGTAGCGAGGGTCCTGAAACAACAGTTCCATGGCAAATTAGAACAAGAGAATGTGAAACATACTTGAATACAGCAACGCAGATAGTACATGTACCTGTTGAGCATGATGTGATCCCCAATTGCATAGCTTTTGATCTCGCTGTTGGTTATCAGTGGTATGTAATGGTGAAGATCCTTGAGATGAGACAGAACGTGTAACAGTTATACCTAGAATTTCAAAGGTCGGAAAGTCACCGTCAATCTGGGACATTTTCATGCCAGCCATTATAACAAAATCCATCTGTTGTTATGATCAACTTAGTTGAAACCATATAAAGCGTTGTTATAGCACGTTAAAGGTATTGTCCAAATGCATCTCCATATATGACTGACTGACTGACTGAGTTTGGTTTTTACGCCGCTTTTAGCAATATTCCAGCAACATCACGGCGGGGGACACCAGAAAGCATCTCCATATGAAGACACATGTGATCGTTTCCTGTTTCTAATACGATGGAGAAACCATCAAGACACTTCTGCTTGACAATGACAGAGGGACCAACAGCTCAAGTTCCAAACCTCAGACCCGTCAACACCAGACTCAAAGAACACTAGATCCGTCAACAAACTCGACGAGAAATCCTTCATTTCCAAACACAACAGCAAGTACCAAGACCACACTATCACGTGGGTAACTACTAAAGTCCTGTCCGCCAACGACATCAACTGGCGTCAAAGGAAGCCACAAGAGGCCATACACATAGCTAAATTACACCCCTTAAACGCATCATTACCAATCATTGTTAATTAACAAGTGGATTCCCTTGTTAAGTGCCCACCTCTGTTAACTAATTATTTTTGTTGTTTCCACATGTGCATATGTAGCTATCTGCTTCCCAATTTTCATCTAACTGATGAAGGCGTCGGAATGTACCTCAAAACATCGTGTTCGTCATATAACAGAAGCTGACATCCACTAAATTCAACTTCATTTCTAAATGCCATTAAAAGACTTAGCGAGGTTCATGTCGTGTTCTGCTCCTTTGCTTCCAGGTAAACCCCGCTATAATGCATTCCCCCTATATCAGCGAGTAAACAGTCGAGTCTGGACCAGGTAATCTAGTGACTGATGACACGCAAATGAAGTCACCAACCTGACCACTCTCTGTTGCTGGGGACAGTTTCGATCCTATATTGCCAATGGACATATTCAATATCTTTTCATATGCATATCGGGATGTATGTTCTTAGGAACTATTTGAAAAAATATTATTTTGCTTATTTTCCATTTGGGGTATTGTCCCAAATTATCACTGGACTAAAGAGTACATACGTTCATATTTTGTCCCCGAACCTTCCTGTCAAAGCTGAAGTGATTCACGGATGGTACTGTCGTCAAAGGCGCCGATCAGGAATGTTTTTCATGGGCGTCCCAGGAAGCAATGATTGTGGGTTCGAATCCCGGTTTGCCCTTATTATGTTTTTGTTTATGGTTTGTCAGCACCATACCCGTTTACCAAAGTAAATCACGTCTGAATTCTGCATCACTTGAAGTTTTCCTCCCTATCTATGTTGACACATCGATATATACCTGGAATTCCGTTGAAAGTGGTGCTAAACGCAATTCAATCACTCACTCAAACGTTGAAAAAATATACAATTGAACAAATATATTCACTGTTTGTTTGCCCATCTTTGGTTTAAGTTCCTGATATAACAGTTTTGTCTCAATGTAACATGAAAACCCTTGTGTAGATGCAGTCTGCTCGAAAAGTTTCAAAACCAATAAAGCTATGTTAATGATAAGACTTGTTTTCCGAGGTACATCCTTGACCAAACGATGTTGCATTGAACAAATATATTGTGGCAAAAAAGGCCCATTCCACTTACCATTGTGAGTTGAACGAGTTTTTTTTCAATTACATGGTAAAACAATTTTCACGACAAAGGACAATATTTGATCAGCTTTGGGTTACACAGAACCGAAAGTGTCCTCAAGACGTTGTTACTTACTTCTGACAAACAGAGGGTCGATACACAATTCAGCGGATCTGAAACATCACCAGACAATTGAAGTCGTTGAAGGAGAGTTTTAGAACTTTCGTGCTCCCGATAATGTAAATGTGGCTCACGGCAAATAGATATTGACCTTTTTTGAAGTGCAATGCATTTGTCCTTCCGCATTCGTGGTCTTTCAATTAGAAGTTGAACGATGAGTTTGTTGTACCATAAGGCATGTAATCATTGTGTACCCTTAATATCTTTACGTGAAGCAGGAACAGAAGAACCATAATACTTATTGGGGATTCACTTGCGACTACCTCACCGCGAAATATGTTTTCAAAACTAATTCCTTATAATGTACTCTTTAATCCTGTTTGATCATCATAAATTGTGTTCACAAGCTTCTCTTCTTTAAACATTGATTTCATGCAATTTTCACTGATGGCAACTTCTACTTTAATATAATGGTTGCCACTTGCTTTCAGATAAGATTGTTCAACAGCAACTAACCAACACGTGGCATCTCTCATCATGTACCATAGTCTATTGTGAAGCATCTAAAATCACTCAGAGTAAACTGAAATATGCACGCATTTATATGTTGTTATTTTCAGTTAGCAAGCAATCACATAGCACAACCGTTCATGTACATCCAATCGACCAGAACTTGCCTAAAACAACAAATTACAGACTATAATAATGTTGGATTTTCATTCGCGAGTTCAAACTAATATTTAGTACAGGGTCGTTTGCAGGTCAATAACTGTACAACAAAATTAGGGACTTTCAAAACTCTTTAGATCTTATGAGCAGGTGACGGATGTCACATTCAATAGGTTAACGCCGTTTTGTAAAGGGCAAGAAGTGTAATGACGCCTAAAGTGTTGCACAGTGTTGACTTTTACGACATTGGTGAAACTGACAAGCACGAGATAATTGGAGGATCATAGTAAGGTCGAATCTTGGATACGAACCACCAAATCACCCAATCAATGGTGCCACTGACCTGAAAGTGACAAAGAAACACTTTCTTCAATGAAAAGCATGGGTACTTGTATGTTAAGGAACGAGCTACCTTTATTATACAGGTAGTATATATTGTGCATATGAAGATTGCATGGTCGTGCCGATTGATCTGCTTTCATTTTCCTATCGATATGCTTTCATCATTCTCTCGGAAAGTAATCTGAGATCTTCTCTAAGAGTTTTGTGCTTAACTTATGCTTTTGTATTACCTTGATGTGAAGCCCACACATTGAAAGGACAAAATATGAACTTTGTTTTCACACATTGTTCTTCATTTCATATCAAGGCACACTTCCAGAATAGGATACCAACTTACTCAAAAGAAAATGTGGGATATTGTTAATTATGTAACGTAATTCATAATAAATCATATAAATCGCTTCGGATGTCCTTTAGTGGGACTTCTACCCAAAGCGGGTAAGGTCGATAGTACGATCCCCTGTCGCGTTATATCTACAGACGTTAAATGATGGTACTTTTTGTTTCCCTGCATCGGCTTAAAGGGAATAAAACAAGGACTCGTCGACTGTGTCTTATATACACTGAGTCGGTATACTATGTCTCTATGGGTTATCTATGTAATGCTGCTGTATTGTATCGCAGTGGGTAATATCTAACCGGCTTTAGAAAATTAAACGGGAAGTTAAACACCATGTGGCCCACCTAACCTATAATATAAAACCAGGACACGCCCAACATAAACTAAAAAAAGCACATATCCATACACTCTGACTGAAAATATATCCTTACTTCTTTTTCTTCCGTAGACAAAATCGAAAAGAGCGTGATCGAAACAGCAAATTAGAGACCAAAAACGATAACCAATTTTCATTCGGCTTATAAGATGTCCTTAGTGGACATTTCTGCAGAATCATTTCCAATACAATCGATGCACGTGGTATATGTATGTATCAAGTACATAATTTGTACATCATTATTACCATTCCAATTCATAGCAACTAATTATCATCATTCTAATTCTTAGCTACTAATGATCATCATTCCCATTCTTAGCAACTAATGATAATCATTCCAATTCCTAGCAACTAATGATCATCTGTCTTCTTTAGAACGTGAGTGAATTTGTGGAGTTTTACGTTGCTTTGAAAAGAATTTCTGTTAGGTAATAACATGTCGGCCAAATGTGTGAAAAAAGCCTGAAGGTTGGCTGATCTTAGTCTTTACGACCGTTGTGAAATCCAAGAGTATGGATTTAGTGCTGGCAAACCCACAATTAGTGAGAATCTGGAATTCGAATAAACAATCACGGGATCGTTGCGCGTCTGCGAGACGCAGCTGTACAGCAGGATTGGATATTCCTTCGGCGACTGGTTCCTCTGTGTCCTCGACACAACAGTGTTAAAAATACTGACAGTCGACGTTTACAATTATTGTGTCTTATGGACACAGTGGACCTGGAATTCACGTAAAGTCAGCATGACCTTTTGTTGCCATGAAGGAGATTGGTGTTTACTGCAATGGCTAAACACCCTACGTTATATATTATCAGTTTAACCTTTGCTGGTATTTCTTTAAAACGCAATTGTAATGCACTGAAGGTCATAATGTCAGTATATTTTACAACCAACCAACCAAAGCGTTTTATCGACCTCCTTGCAGTAGATTGACGTTCACTTAACTTGGAAACATTTTCCTGAGAAACAATATGACGAGCAGTATTATGAGAGGGGGGAGGGTAGCCAAGGGTTCGTTCGTCACGTCGACGGTACAGGTTCGGTTCTCTACATGATATCGCCGTAGTAATGCTAAAGTATTGCTAAAAGCGGTGTACAACATCGCCCACGATATGTGTAGAACAAAGTATTACTTAATAGGTACACCAGATCAGACGGATGAGTATTGCCGACAATGCGTATTTCTGACATACATTTGTATTGCTAAAATCGAGGTATAAGCATGGACACTCATGTAAGATATTAATCCACATATCTCCCCCAACCCCATCCCCCACATTGTTATAATAGTTTCAGCTGATAGCTGACACTAGATTCACCACTGTGGACATTAGTATCTTATTTTAAATTAGTATTCTAACTTCAAGTGGACGACATACGACCAGCATAAGCTGGTTTTCCCCTGCATCAATAGCCTTGCCTTCATTGAACTGAAATATTGTTTTCTAACTTGGAGATTGTAAGAGACAGGAACCAATTACATGTATAAAACCGTTAAGTAAAAGTATCAGTCATGGCACACAAATTGCTGACCAGTGGATCGAGATGAATCTGTTTCAATGGTCTATCATATACGCTTTGGCCGAGTAGGTCAATTGAAAGGTATTAGCTTATACTGTTGTATTCCGGTTCTGTTCCCCTTTACAGTTTACGTAAGTCTCCATGGTCCCTAGTATGGTGTTCTACCTTCAGTTGTTGGCGATCTATAGCCTATTTTATATTGTGTTGTCCCCTATAGTTAAATGTTTTAAATTTAATTACTAGTTTTACATGTATATCTGTGATATTCTAGTTGTTTTACTGTCCTTCGTCGGCAGGTTTTTATAATCTATTTCTTCCATTTCAATGTCAAATGTTCTCGTCACGATATGGCTGAAATACTGCCGATGTGACGTTAAATATTAACTCACTCACAAACTCACTCACTCACTTTACAGTTTACATTCTACCAATGCCATGCTCTGGTCTAGCCCATTTTCAATAAGACATTCATACATAATTCATATATAGCTACACATCTACGTACATTTCGTCCTCGTATCTTCCAGTTTCCTTGAACCTTAATGATAATAGCAAACACTCCCAATTGCTATAACTGATGAATTGAGGAACACATAGATACACTGTTCAACTGTAACATATTGATTATAACGTGTTAGGATGTCATTCACCCGATGCAAACCTGTTTGTTAAAACACCTTTATGCAACATGAGCGCTATGTTTACATAACGTTCTTGAAAATGTATTATGTAACATATAGGCTATGTAGAGGCATGTATATTGCGTAGGTGTGGTACAGTTTTGTATTTTAACAATATATTTCAATAGGGAATGAGAAGGCATCATAAGTAATGTTTCAAACTCATGAATACATTGATAATATTCATGCACTCAGACTGTGATTTCACTCTGCCTTCACGTGTATTACAAAGAGGTACTTGTTCGGGAAGAAGAGTTGTTAGTGTGTGACTGTGAGTGTATACAATTCTTGGTAAAGAGGTGAATGAGTGAGTGTGTTAATATTTATCGTCACATCGGCAATATTTCAACCATATCGTGACGTGGAAAAGAGGTAGTTGTACGCGAGGAAAGGTTGTGAGTGTGTGCTCGTAAGTGTACACAAGTCTTGGTAAAAAGGTAGTTTTACGTGAAGAAGACTAGTGAGTGTGTGCTCTTGAGTATGTACAATTCTTGGTATACATTACAAAACTGTGAACGTCATGCAAAAATATGAAAAGTCATTACATATATCATTTTCATATTTCATTTAGCCCCAGAAGATACATAGCCATTTGACCTCTCTGATAGTACACAGGGACAATTAAAGCACCTGTTGAAACACAGCTGCAACCAATATGCGATCACTAACGCTATACACAGTCAAACATTACAGACTAGCCCATTGTCATTTACCATTCCCTACATGAAATGTACGCGTGCATGCTTACCACCTACGTCATTATATTGCAGCAATGTACAACGTCACTTACAACATATGTGTGAATGCTATGTAACAGCTGCTTCTATAACACAGCTGGTATTTCGATGTTTTGCACTTGGTGACGCCAGAACGTGTAGAACGTGTGCTACGACCCCTGGCAACTGAGTTAAGGTTCATTGCGTGTTAATACAAAATAAAAGCAACACAGCTCTTCCATCATCCTCAGTCTATTATACGATATTATACAATGTCATTTGCCTGGATTTATGAATCTCTGTGAAATTATCCCGCTTTACGGATGGCTCCGTCAAAAACACAAACACATTTTTGGAAATATGGAACTGAAACATCTAGAATATTAATTAGAAAATTAGCATCTAGAAGGATAACATCGATATGTTTCCATAAGGTCCGGTAATAACAAATTGGTAACGGTAATACCGGATCTACAGGTAGCTCTTCTGGTTTATAAGCAAGCCTTTGCAAGTTTCAATGTCTTATTAACATTCTTTTCGATAAGGCCACCCAATTTCAGTTTTGAAAAGATGTTTAGGCTGAAAGCGGAAAGCCGCCCGAGGTGTTGCACATTGTTGACTTTTACGACATTTGTGAATCCAAGACTGGTGGAGGATCATAGTTAGGTCGAATGAGAAAGCCTTTGCAAAGTCCCAGCTGTATTGCACAGAAATGTTTTCTTACTAATATAAAATACAGACATGAAATAGCATGGCGAAGAATGGTTACTAGCTTTGCAATCTGGCAAGCACGAATGTACTGAAGGCTATGTTGTCATAGTCGATTGCCACCTTTGTATATCCAGATGTAGTACATGAGTAAAAGCTGAAAGGACTACGAACAGGCACTGCCTGGGGCAGTAGGACCAGCTGGGCGAGGTTATTGACTTGAAGCGTATTTACTGACATGTGTGTTAACAATACATATCTTCCATATGCCGCCCATGCCAGGTTTCAATTTCCCTCCCGAATGAGGTAATTGATTTTGCAGGGATATATTCAATTATGATGCGTGATGATATCAATATGTGGACAGAATCGATACTGTTTTTTGATTGGTTGATTTTCAGCTTTTGCCAATTTTTATCATCTTTGCATGGTGACAGCATGTGGATATGCCATGGGTTGATGATGTGGGAAGGAAGACACATTCATCAAGATCAGCTAATCTTCAATTCAGTCGTAAGAAGGTTATCATGCAGATCGAAAATGGACTTTAGAATCTGTTTTAGAATCTTTATTAAAGAACTTCTGTCACATCTTCTTGATAAGGATATATTTTTGGTCATTTGAATGTCCGTCATATTATGTACATGTGATGGTGCATGCTTTGTTCAACGCTGGCGACAAACACTTCATATGCATACATGTAATTTACGTTCAGTGTTTTGTATTGTTACTGATTAATGCTTAAACTTGTGATATCAACTATACTATTCACAGTTTGCTAAGGATCAAATCATGGATTCAACAGAAAACTATTATGTGGGGTCAAGTTTGGTTTAAATACCTAAGCTTATTGTTAGCATGTGTCCTAGGTTTCAGTATGTCATTGCATGTTGTGGATCCCATACCTGCTGTTGAGATGTGTTGTTTATTTGTCAATGACTCGTTCCATGATTTGCAAAATTGCTGATTGGTGCCATCAAAACCATTTTTATTGTTACTCATATATCAAGTGCATAAGTTTAAATTAAAGTGGTTGTTTGCCTAAAGAGGGGTTACCATATCATTATTTATCCAGTTTTACATATATATAATTTCAAATTATAAATCTACGTTTAAGTAAAGTTGTGAGTTTTTGTGATCCTTATCAAAGTGTGAGTAGTATATATGTGTTGTTGCAATGTTCTGATTGCTAAACAATAACAATAAATGTAATCGATGAGTCTTTATCATCAATGTGTGAGGTCAGTAATAAATTGAATTAATATATGCTGCAATATCATATCGTACTTTCACCTGATGTGCCCTGATTTACCGGGTCATTTGGCATTGGCTGACTAACCGTGGACTGTCCGTTAGGACTGATCACCAGCATCCTAGCCTGGCAACATGGCGTGTAACGTACCCGATAAGGTGGATCCACGAGTCTAGGGCTAATATGTCACTGGATTGTCTGATCCATAGTCGATTAATTATATGCAGCCAGAAAATGCTTAGTGTGGTACTATAGATCTGTGATCTAGTTGAATTAATTCGTCATTTCCTGTTTTTGCCATCGGTTTGAACAACATACTTTCACCTTTTCGCCAACCGTGTGACCGTTTGACAATGAGTGAGTGAGGAAGTATAGTTTTACGCCGCACTATTCCAGGGATATGGCTGCGGTCTGTAAATAATCTAGTCTGGTCCAGACAATCCAGTGATCAACAGCATGATCTACGCAAATGGGATACGATGACATGTGTCAACCAAGTCAGCGAGCCTGACCACCCGACCCCGTTAGTGACCTCTTACGACAAGCATGGGGTACTATACACAAAGAACTTAATTAAGCACCCCCTGTATTTTTTAATTTGCAATGATAGGTTTTTAACATGTACATGAACAATTTAATGGCCGCCGGGTGCAGACAGGGTGTGCTGAGCTCCGCATTGAAACGCTGAACACTGGTTTATTATGCTAACACGGAAAGCATACTTATGAGGAATACAGACACAGGAATGTGAAGAATGGGTGTGGACATTAATTCGTGGAGAATACGCATAGGTTTGCACAAACAACCGCAGTCTTGGCGTGTTGTTAGTCTGGACAGGTACGACCCCATGTCAACATGGTCGCCAACAAACGATGTCATGTTTCGTCTAACTGCAACTTGCGGTGTTCTTTTGCTTCTTGGAGTGGTCGGTTATCTGATGACAGAGGTAGGTGAACGATTAGGCATATTGGAAACGCTGAATGTTGTGTACGAAAAGTGCCTTCTTGGCAATATGTCGAGTATTGATGACGTCACAGTAAACAACTCTGCCTCCCTGTACCGCGGAACACTGTATACAAACACAGAGTTTGGTCTAGAACCGGATAATGTGAACCAAATGCTGTTACTAAAGGCGGGAGACATTGAAATGAACCCAGGGCCGTTTGATTCTGGAACTGAAGCTGTTCTAGACCAAATGAAGAAGATAAACAAGAGGTTTGTAATCAAGTGAGTCAACTGAAGAGTGCGGTTCAACATATGCAACAAACATACATACAACTGGATCAGAAATGTGATGAAATCAAAAAAGGACATTTCAGAAACTCTAAGTGTGATTCGGAACGATTTATCTTCAATTAAAGATACACAGGCACAAATGAAACTTGACATTGATAATGTTTCTAAGAAAACAAGTCATCTGGAGAATGAAGTACAGCTCATTCATAAAGCGGCCAACATAGCTCACGACACGCACGAGCAGCTCGAGCAGTTGAAGGACGAAGTTGATAGGCTGGAAGCGATAAGTAGGCGGGACAATTTACTCATATATGGCATACCTGAGTCACGTGACGAAGGTGGTGACGCATGTAAACAAAAAGTTGTAGACACTCTGAATACGGTAAGATCTAATGATCCAGTTGTGCTACAAGACATTACCAGAGCTCACAGGATAGGGAAACCCGTCCCTGGAAAAGCTAGAACCATGATCGCTAAGTTTGTGGACAGTATGAAGAAGATCGCAGTACTGAAGGACCGGCCTGAACTTGGTAAACACAACATTGGAGTAGCTAACGACCTGACCAAGCGACAACGTCAGACACTGAGCCAACTACGATCGGAGAACAAACGGGGGTTCTACAAGAATGGAAGGCTGGTTGTGGAGGATCTAGCACCCTCTGAGAGTCCTGAGGTGACCAAGAGTCCGCCGTCTGCTGAGCGTACGGATGAAAGAGGATCACACGCTTTGTCTGGTACATCTACACATGACCGTGACCGCGTGCTCAGGTCAATGTCGAAGGTCAAGTCCACCTCGAGAAAATAGCAGGGAGGCCAGGGCTTAACAGACAATTACTTATCAATTCTCTCGTGGAATATTGGCGGCTTATCAAACAAATTACATGATAATGACTTTATTCGCTTTATACTATCAAATGATATTGTTGCTTTTTATGAGACATGGACAACTGATACAGACTTAAGTTTGTATTTTCCAGGTTATAGATATTTTTGTTTACCAGCAACAAAGCTTGCCAATTTTGGAAGACACTCTGGAGGAATATTAGTTATGATAAAATGTTTTTATGTTAAGTATATTATTGATGTGGTTTATGGCGAAAATGCTATTTTGATATCGTTTGACAAGGAAATGTTTGGATTTGACACAGATATTATTTGTGTTTTTAGTTATGTCCATCCACAAGGTTCAAGCTGGTATGCTGACAAGGATGCGAGGAATGGGGTGGAAATTTTGCTTAATTTTATACTGAAAGTGGTAGAAACACACTCTGTTTTCTCAGTCCTTGTTTTCGGGGATATGAACAGCAGGACTGGCATTTCGCCTGACTATATGGAAGATTCAATTATCCAACATGTTGAGGGTAAAGATTTTGTAAGTGAATTTTTCACAGAATTTGAGATGGTAAGATATTCATGTGACAAGACTGTGAACAGTTTTGGGCAAACATTACTGAATTTGTGCACAATACTGAATATACATATCGTAAACGGGAGATGTGGAAGTGATTCCGGCATTGGTGATTTTACCTTCTTAGGTCATCTAGGATGTAGTGTGATTGATTATATTCTTGCGTCCACGGATATGTTCCCTTTAATCGCCAACTTTCACATCGTGTCACGGTCTGAATCCCAGCATCTTCCCATACAGCTAGAGGTGAATATACCCGGTAGCTCTTTGCCGAACCCGACCTCTACCCATATAGATCAGTGCAGGTACATATGGAAGGAGTCGTGTAAACTCAACTTTCTTCATCATATGGAATCCTCGGAGACTTTAGCATAACTCGAACAAGCAGCCATGTGTTCATTGACTAATGTAGCAGAAGCAGTCTCGATATTCACGGACGCCATCCTTTCAGCTGCCTCCATGTTTAAACGACCAGAAAGTCACAAAAGCAGCACTTCACCATGGTACGATAGTGAATGCCTCTCTAAAAAAGCATGAACGATGTCAGTTTCTAAATGCTTTTAGAAAATCAAAAGACAAATCTTTCTTGTTGAAATATAAGAAAACATGCAGTGAATACAAGTCCTTATGTCGAACAAAGAAAGAAGAATATATTCAACGCCAGAGAGATGATTTGGAGACCTCGACAACTGACTCGAAACGTTTTTGGGGTACAATAAAACGTTTATCAGGTCGTAAACTGCGCCCAAACCCCATAGATATTGGAGACTGGGTGGATTATTTCTCTACCCTCTACGACAGTCCAGATAATTTAGAATGTATAAATGACGATATACATGATATAGAAGATCCCCCAGAGTAATCACTGAAGATATTCTGGATTTCCCCTTAACAAGATTGGAGATCATTCGCAGTCTCGAGGCGCTAAAGAACAACAAATCTCCAGGACTTGATGACATATTGAGTGAATATCTTAAACATTCCTCCCATGTAATCGTTCCATACCTCGAGATAATATTCAATAGTATGTACCAAAAAGGGTAAATTCCCAGAGACCTGGTCTACAGGAATAATTATTCCTTTTCATAAGAAAGGTGACACTTCTATCCCCGACAACTACAGAGCAATAAGCCTCCTGAGTATCCTCAGCAAAGTCTTCACGTACATCCTGAATCAGCGATTAGTGTGCTGGGCTGATGTGTTGAGTAAAATTTCTGAGTGTCAATCAGGTTTTCGAAAAGGTTATTCAGTGGTTGACAATTGTTTTGTTCTGAATTCTATTATCGAGCGTTATCTTTCCGGCAAAGGTGGTAAATTCTACGTACCTTTGTTGATTTCTCGAAAGCTTTCGATTCTGTTCAAAGACATTTTCTTTGGAAGTTATTATATAAACACGGTCTGAGTCGTAAAATGGGTAAAATGTTAGAGTCTATTTATAATAGTGTAAAATTTTGTGTTCGCTCAAATAGTAGTTTATCTCGTGTATTTGATTGCCCAATGGGAGTCAGACAAGGGTGTATGCTCAGCCCCTTTTTGTTTCAGTTTTATATAAATGAATTAGTTAATGTAATTGAAACTGAATGTCGGTTTGGTGTCCAGCTACATCCAGATGTTACTCATATTTTCCTTCTTTTATTTGCGGATGACCTTATTTTGTTCGGGAACAGCGTGAGAAGTCTGCAGTTTAAACTAAATGTTCTTAATAGGTACTGTTCAGAATAGAAATTGTCAGTCAACATGCATAAAACTAAAATTGTTGTTTTTAAGAAAGGAGGTGGTTTATCTCGGTATGAAAAATGGTTTTATAATGGTAGTGTTGTTGAAGTTGTTTCAGGATATTGTTATCTCGGATTGTATTTTAGTAATAGGTTACAGTGGTCAAAAGCGTTTGACAATATTTCTATTCAAGCCAGAAAAATGTTGTCATTACTTCTTAGTAGTATACATTGTTTGAAACCACACTCGCCTCATCTGTACTTCAAATTATTCAATACAAAGATAACACCCATTCTCCTCTATGGGGCTGAAATTTGGGGGCTTAATAATATTGAAGAACTGGAAAAAGTACATTTATATGCCTGCAAACGTTTTCTAAACGTTAAGTTATCAACGTCCAATAATGGAGTATTAGCCGAGTGTGGTAGATATCCTGTCCAACTATCTGCTGTTTTAAAATGTATTAAATATTGGTAAAATCTTATTAACATGCCTGGATGCCGTTTGCCTCGAAAATGTTACAATATGATGCGTATGTATGATGAGCAAGGCTATGAGAACTGGGTTACCAAGGTTAGAAATATCATATTTAAATTAGGTTTTGGTGATGTTTGGGTATCACACACTTACGGAGATAAAAACGTTTTTGTTAAAATGTTTTTTCAACGACTGAAAGATAATTTTCGGCAAGTTTGCCATAGTGATTTATCTGAGAGCCCCAAAATGTTTACGTATTGTAATTTTAAATTAACGATTTCTTGTGAAACATACTTAACTCATATTACTGTATCCAAATATAGATCTTGTTTATCACGATTTAGGTTAAGTTCCCATAGTTTAGAAATTGAAAGAGGACGTTACTATAACATTCCCCCGGGAACAAAGAACATGCAAAATGTGTAACTTAAACGTAATTGAAAATGAATATCACTTCTTACTTATCTGTCCAGCCTACATTGAATTAAGACGTAAATATCTTTTGTCGCAATTCTATGTTTTCCCCAGTATACTAAAATTCAATTCGTTGTTATCATCCAAAAATAACGACATTTCCTTGAATACTGCTAAATATCTGTTTTATGCATTCGAAAAAAGGAAATCAATCTTGTCATATTAAGATTGTATATATTATACATGCTTTCATTGTTAACATTTTATTTCAAGTCTGCACCGATGAGGTGTTTTTGTACTCATAGGCCCGTGGCCTCATAGTATCAGAAATAAAGATTTGAACATGTACATAAAACTTCTCGTGGTGACCACGATGGATAAACATAAGTTTTTTATGACAAGCCAGCACTCTCCTCCTCATGCCCCCTGTCAAGCTCCTGATTCTCTGAAGGGGGCAGTCCACGCCATTACTCGTGTAAAACAGCTTCGTATTGGGCCAGGTTCCGTACAGTAGGATTCCTTTATTGTAAACTGCGACCAATCATGTCCCAGATATGCTCCAAAAGGTTATGGTCGGAGCACATTCAATCGTGAGATATGTCAGGGAGTGTTTAACTAAGTTCTTTGTGTGTATATAATTCTAACCGGGATCTTCACAGGTTCACCGTTTGACAGTGATTTATAGACACATGCTAAAGGAACATTCGGAATCGCATGACTGTTCCTATTTACGCAGAATTTTGTTTATGGTAATGGAAGGGATTTGTTGCTTGAAATGCCAGCTGCTGCTCTGAAGAAACTGTACGGCCACATTCACACATATGTCCCAAATCACGTCGGTTTATCTGACGTCCTGGTCATGATTAGATGTATCAGCTCGTGATAATGGAAGTCGGAAATGTGTATATGGGTTAGAGGATGTACACACAGTAATATTACCCAATCACGACATGTGTGCATTACCACACCTGCTCTATTGACGAGTTACTTGGTTAAGATGTAAGATACAGTTCAATGAACTCTATAAGATTTCAATATTGATTTTACGGAATTGTCAATGACATACTTTTGTATAAGAATGGCTTCACAATACCGTAACATGTCGCTTGCACAGAACGGGTGTAGATGATAATAACGTACATCAACAGAATTGCCTAGTACAGTAAAGACATTGTCTTGAAGCAGCTGTGAACTTGAGTTTGCATGAACTTTCACAGCGACTGAAATTAGATAAAACAGTTATATACTTGCACACAGGCCATTGAAAGATAACTTCTTTGAGTGGCATTTTAGAAGTTGGGATGTATAATATTGAACAGACTTCAAGGAAAACAACTTCGTATATTTTGTGAGTGCGACGTTTCGATACAGATTATGTACCGTAATGGTACAAGATTCTGTATCGGAACGTTGCACTCACGAAATAAAAGAAGTTGTTATCCATAAAGTTTGTTCAACATTGAAAGATGGTACACACTTAGTGCAGGAATCTGTGAAAAATCCTCAAGGAGTTTGACAAGGGTTTGGGTTGTGGTCAGTCTATGAGGCGTTGTACTGATATTAACAGGAGCTATCAGACATATAAGCCGTCTTCCAGTGCAAGAATGGAAGAAATCCGAAGTGAAGCCTAACCTAATACAATATTTTCAAAAAGTCAGATTTATAGGAATTGCTATAAATAAATGGGCGTTTCACAATCCAGTTTCCATAAAATATGTTGGGCCTTCAAGTATGTAGTGTAAAAAGTCAATAACAGATAGAGATTTGTGTTCATTTTAGTCCCTCTAATTTCGTTGGTAGGGATAATTGATGGTAAGGCGATTAGAGATCACGAAATACATCAGAGGCGATTGAGTCGAGTTATATTCATTGGCACGAAAATCGATTACAGAACATGAGACCATTTAGTACAAAGTAATTATAATTAAAAGAGAGTAAG